GGGGGGGGGGGGGGGGGGGGGGGGGGGGGGGGGGAGAAGGGGGGTGGGATGTGCCTGCTAGAGAAAAGTACATCTTTTGTGCTGGTTCTCAGCAGCTTTCTTCTTCCTGAGCTTGCAGCGCTTGCAGCTTGTCACGGGGGTGGGAGGGCGAAGGGGTAGAAGTTCAGACCAATATGACTTAAAAGGAAACCGTGTCAGCAGAGGGGCTTTTCTAGCAGACCTATCCCAAAAAAAAAAAAAAAAAAAAAAAAAGGAACATCGCTCTCTGGTTTCAGTGCGAGGGTTGCTTCCTCCTGTACAGCCAGCCAGTATGGGCACGCGGGAAGGCAGCAGTGCCATGGCTGTGGAGGCAGGGAAGCGTGCAGTTCATGCAGGCCTGGGTGGGACCTCCCCTGAGAGGGACCCCACTGTGGCCTTCATCCTGGCACCTTGCAAGGGACACCAAGCCAGGGCAAGGGCTGCCCCGAGCTGAGTGCCGCTGGGTGCTACCTGTCACCTTTGTTCGAGCAGGACCTGGTCCTGACCACCCTTCAGACACTGAGGGTACCTACCTCCCTGCTTACCTCTGAGGGTAGCTACCACAGAGACACACTGTGCTAAAAGTAACAAAATGCAGCAATTATACTTACGTGATTTTTCTGCCTGTGGAAATAAATCAGGCTTTGCAAGCTAAAACTGTATCGATGGTAAAATTTATGCTGGTGAATAAAAGGGAGAAGAGGATGTTTGGGACCATGCTGCTGTGTGTGCTAGTTCAGAGTGGTCTTACGTTTCATCTAGATTCCTAGGTTTTCAGTCAGAGGGAAAGCAGCTAAAGCTTTACACTAAGCAAGGTTGATCCTAAATATGATAAACACATCCCTAGCATTTCAATGTATTTGGTATAAAATCAGCCACAGTAAGTGAGGTGGAACTGACAATGAAAACAACAGACAGCAAGTCCAGCCTCCTGGGTCTCTCTACTGCAAGACCCATGTGTGTTTCTTCTGTAATCAATGCAGGCACCATACTAAAATGTGCAGTGCTCCTCCAGTACCTTCAAATGAAAGCACCCTGAAAGTGTTAAAGCACATCACACTACAAGGAATAAATGCAGTAGCAAGTCCAATTTACAGAGCAGGCACCAGGGAGGCCAAGGTTTGTAAGGTTGGCCAGCAAGCCTGGGGCAGGGTCAGGAACTGAATAGCTACCTGGCGGATTGCTCGTCAGTGTTTTGTCTGCAAGGGTGAGGTGAACGTGGAACTGTGCCTGCTGTGAGTGGAGGGGAGCAGAAAATCTACTTAAAGCCTGTCTCTTCTGCCAGTGACCTTTCAAACAGAAGCAGATGGCTGAATTTTGTGTTGTGACACAAAACTGTTAGGACAGTGAAACAGGTTATCCTCAGTCTGCTTCTGGTTCTCTAGGTAGAGAGATCAACCTTTGGATGAGAAAGACCTTAGACAACAGTTACATTTCAGTTTCCTTTGAGTACACTGAAATCAACTTTTATTCTCTGCAGATTTCTTCACTTCTGACAAAGGTTTCTGTTTGGTCTTAGGTACCTTTTGTGCGGCGATTAACCCAGTAGGATGAAACCCCATTTTGAGATCAGGGCCGTTCCTTCACACAGTGGAGAGCATCACCAAGTGAGGGAGCTGTGCTGCTCACAGCTCTGGGGTGGGGAATGGTCCTCCAGGTAACACCAGCACGCTGCCCACCAGCACATCTCTACACTTCACTGGGAATATGGGGCCCTCCATAAATGCCAACAGCATGTATACATTTCAGTAGTCACCAGTACATTTTAAAGATGTTGAGTTCTAACATACGACGGCTGCCATATTGCCAAAACACTAGCGTGAAGCTGCATTTACAAATGTCTTCTTGGTTACATCCTGTTTAGCCAAGATTAAGCAGCTTAAGAATTGTAAAGACAACAGTTTTCTAGCCAGCCAGTAGAGGAAGAGTTTGGCAAATAATCCCAAATCACTGAAAGACAAGTTCTGAGGATGAGAGACAGATGTAGCAAAGCAAACTGCAGAAGAAGAGAGAAATCATATGCTCAGCTTGCATCCAGCGCAAAGCCTACATGGCAATACCAGACCAAAGAGACTGGTGGAGGTGCGCACTGGAAAGCCTCAATATTTTTATAACTGTTCCTGTAACTTTCATACCCACTACAGTAATTCCTATATATCCAGTAATAAGGCTGTTTCTTAAATCAGAACAATGTTCTTAATTTTTTGCCTTTTTTAATGTACAGTGTCCCATCTTCTTTTCTTACCACAAGAGAGAACAAAGTGTCATTCAGTAATAAAGCAGATGGGATTTGGGGTCAATATTTATAGAGCTCACTGGACTTTAGTCCAATTGACTTGTATCATACTTTTCCCAAAAGGAGTGTGAAGGGAATACATTCCTTTGTCTGGGTCCTCATATGTCTTATTTTCATGGTATCAAAGGGCACTGATGTCTCTTGGGATGTAAATTATGCCAGCAGATCTTTCTGTGCTTATAGAAGTGATGGTATGAATAGCAGCCATCCTGTGTAAGAGAAAGAACAGGAAGAGAGGAAGAAAGGCATTTTCTGTGACCTCCCTAGGATATACATAGATTAAAAATTTAGGAGATCGGTTTATCTAGATCAATTTACGGAAGTGTTTATTGTTATTTATGGTCTCAATCCAATGCTGGGAATGAAGTATATGCATTTATAATATTTAGATATTTCTAAACACAGAATTTCACTGTGTTTGTTAATGTACAGATACAAATGAAATAAAGTTTAATGGCAGAGACAAACTACATGAACACACTGGATCAAGGGGCAACTTAAAGAGATCTTACTGCCTATTGGGGCAGGAAATCAATTGGTCAAACACAAGAGATAAATTCTAGTAAAAAAATTAACAAATTAATTTCCCACAAAGGTAGACAGTCCTTTTCTTAGCTGGAGGACAGGCAAGCCTCTCTCTCTGGAATAAGTCAGAGGAAAATACATTTATGGGAAAGGGAAATTAAGTGTCTCCAGAGCCTATTAAGATTTGCAAAAAGTTAGATTACCTATGAAAATTAGGTTACAATTAGCTACAAGAGTTAGTCTGCTCCAACAGAAGACTCACTTTATTAAATGCAACTGGAAACACAGGCTGTACAGAAAAACAAAGACCCTAATTTAAAGTTTATCTTGAAAACCTGTAGAGCAAGTTGGTGAAAAAAAGAGAAGGACAGATATCCTTCAAACTGCATCAAATAAAAGCAGATTGAAATGTGGCTTTCTTTTCAATTTCTTCACCTACATTTTTATAAATACTTAAAACTATGCTGTCTGCTGGAGACACTGCAAATTATTTGCATTGTACTTTAAGCTGTCTTGAGCGCATGCTAGAGGCATGTCTTCTGGGAAGAACAGGATAAACCTCACCCAGGTGCAGAAATCCTGCTGCTGTCTGCGGGAGTCCAAGGCCCTCACCAGGGCTGTGGTGGGTGAGACCCCAGCAGTCGCTTGAGTCTGGTCACACCATCAAGGTAGAGCCAAGCCAAGGGGCTCAGGCTTGAATCCAGCAGTCAATGGAGTCTTTGTTTAGTTACTTTTTCCTCTGGAGGCAGAAATTTCACTGTATGGCCACAGATCACCCTACTCCGTGGTGGAAACTCAGCAATTTTTTCTGGGCATAACCTAGGTGTATCAGCAAAGGGAGCCTTTGATCCATTAGGGAAAGTACTGTTCTGTGACCACTGACAGACACAGACAGTTTTCATTGATCTGTGTACATTTCAGCTGTTTTCCTTTGATTTACTAACCTGTCCAAAGAGGCTGCAATTTCTACAGGTCAAAAAGCTTGAATATTGTAGTAAGTCATACAGTTTGCATTTTCACCTCCACAGCTTTACCATGAACACCTACCTCTTTGTGTATGACTTAATGCAATTCTGTGGACATTCCTGGATATTTACAAATATGATCATCAGGTTCATGTCATTTGGAAAAGGTAGGATTCCTTCTATATTTTCCTTAAAAGTTTTAAGAGACAGTGGCACACAGAAACATCAAATTAGAGATAAAGTTAGGATTCTGAATAGGTGTGTGTCCAATACCAGGGGCTGTAATTTCAGTTAGAAAAACATGGTGTCTTCCATTAAAAAGGATGAACAAAGTACTGGTACTTACATTCTGCCTGTGTCACATTAGGAATGAACCTCTTGTTTTGCTAATGAGCTTTAATATTCAGCAGCATGCTATTAACATTTGACTTGGCCATAGACCTAAATGTGATTAGGTCCAGTTGTTATGGTGAATATTAATCTTATTGAAGCAATATCTTTGTGGTTATTGCACATGACTATCTCCAAAAACATTACAACATATTTCTCTTTCCATTGCCTGGGGTTAAGGCACAAAAATAGAAAACTAGTGACTGGAAATTTAAAATACTGGTGGACAGTTGTAGACACATAAAATACCTACTTTGTGGTCTACTTGTTTTAGGAAGTGCCATGGGTACAGATACAGGCAGGAACTTAACATCTCCTCATGTTTAGAGGTTCCTCGTACATTTCCTCAACATTTCCTCATATTTAGAAATATCCTAGAGTGATATCTTTAAACCAACACATCCTGCACAGTGTTTTCCGGTGCATCAAGTATAGGGGATCCCATTCTTTTCTCAGCTTCCTGCCTCTGTCAGAGCCACACGCACAGAGTGGACTGCCTCCTCCCCTCCCCAAAGCTTTGCTTCTAGTACCCAAAAGCTTGGTACTGTGTGAACTTTATTTCTTGTCATCTCCAGTGGTGATGTGGCAAGAGCAAACCCAATAGTTGGTGCAGGCTTTCACCATATAACCACCCTCTAATTATCCTCTTCACTTCGCCTGTAGATTCATTGGCCGACACATTTTACTCCATAGGACTTGTAATGCGCCTTTGCCAGCTGTTGTCTATATTGGAGATCCTACACATCCTCACCGGCATTGATAAAAGCCGTCTCTTCCCAAGGATTCTGCAGGTAAGCCCATTTCTCAAGACCCTCCTTCCACGACCTACATGCTTCAGCTCTGCCTGCCCCTGGGGACAAGCCCAGGCTGAACTACCCTGAATGGTCCACCTGCACCCTTCCAGAGGGATCTTGGTCTGCTAATGGTTTGCTAACTGCAGGAACTGGGCCCTCAGAACTGGGTTGGGAAAGAGCTGCTCTCTGAACTTTTTTCTTTTTGAGTGAAACTTCATAGTGAGTGCCGCCCAGCCCACAACAGCAGGGACCTGGAGGATGTCCAGAGGAGTGGCCACCTGCAGAAATGGGGCAGCCCCCATTTCTAGGGCGCCATAGGTGGCTGAGGATACTACCTCCCCAGCCAACTTGTTTACAGCCAGAAGACAAAATTTTAGCGCCTAAGTTTTCATAGCTAATTCTTTTCCATGCCATTTCCTCACTGACAAGTGCATATTTATTTTGTAGACAAACACAAGATGAGATTTTGTGGGTAGCAAAGGGATGGCAGTGAGAAAACCACCAGCACATCAAGCCTCCTGAAACAGGGTTTGCTGGCGGTTATGGCGTGTGGAAGGAAAAGAATCGATAAAGAGAAATTAAGGGACTGAAGAAGAATTAATGCTGGGAGGGGAATGAAATGAGAATTGTCATATTCCTGCTGGAAGGGTCTCTGCCCTCTCAAACCCAGACAGAGGCAAATTGTGGCAACATCCAGTGGTTCTGATGCTGTTAAGGGGTTTACAGGGCATATGTTCAGCTGTAGACAGACAACCAGCCAAAAGATCACATGCTATAGCAGAAAACAAGATGATTCTCTGACATTTTCCTTAGCACACTCTTGTTTTCTGTTGGGAGTTAATCTCAAGTTCTGGTATTTTTCTTAATGTATTGGAAAAAGTAAAAATGTTGACTTGAGTTTACCTTCAGACCTTTCCAATCCTTAGTATTTGAATAATGGTGAAACTGGTGTTGCTCTCAGCAGTCAGAAGGTAGAAGAGTAAGAGTAGTTAGTTATGTTTTTAGTTTTCTGGATAGCCCATATTGTCAAATGACATATTGCATGGGTGAAGATGTTCCTCTTTTTAAATGTCCATTAGAAATTGATTGACTAATACAGATCTCTGTTCTTGATGCTGCTAAGTATGGTAGCAAATTCGTCAAACTGCAATTAACTTTTTTTCCCTGCCTAAATCTACATGCTTTTACACTAATCTAGGAAAAAAAAAAAGTATCCTATCTAATGTAACAAATCTCATGTCATCTGTTGGAGAGAAAAGCAGCCTGCTAATGCTAACAGTCCTTAAAGAAAGGCTTGTCCTGGCAGAGTTTACACATTCCCCAGCCCTGACATAGTCCATTCCGTTCCTACCCAGCCCTGCAGAAGCAGAGATCAGGGAAGCCTGCACAAACACTGCACTGTGTTGTGACAAAAGACACTAGATATGAAATGGATAGTCTGAGCAAGAAACTTTCTTGGGCAGTGCAATTACCGCAGTGCTCTCCAGGGCAGCATGGAGAAAGTGGGTCAGGGAACTATATGGCACTGTGACTCCAAACATTTGGCTCACAACAAAGATAGCTTTGGATCCTTAGTTCTTTCCCCAAGTGTTCTCTTACTGCAAACAACTCTTTTGCCTTGATGTTAGCAGTAGTCTCATGCTGTCCAAGCAGGATGTCTAAGCTCTTTGGTTTAGACTCTGCTATCACTTGGGTTGCCCTGCTTTTGCTGTGAGAGTGCAGGTCAAGCAGTTGTATGCCAACGGTACGCCCATATGCCTTGCCACACTCTCCCTCCTGCCCCTTAGGAAAAAAGAAAAGATATATTTTCCACAATGAACTGGGGAAGGACAGTTAAAGATGCTTACCTTACTGCAGCCTACTGCAGTCAGGGCAATGGTAAAGCTGCAAGAATTTGACAGTGGCTGCCCTGTTCTGCGTTCCCACCACCTGTTCTGACTCTAAGTTTAAAACATATCATTATGCATCCCTCAGGCCATGCAACACGTGCATATCCACAGTGAAGTTCATCTCAGGTGATCTCTAGGATGAGAGAACAGCTGGCTCTGGCAATGTCAGGGGAGCACATGGGTGGAGGTAATGCCACCTTTAAAACAAGCTGTGAAAGCACCCCTGTGGTGGTTGGTTGTTTTGTAGCCATTATAGCAGAGACAAGATTTAAGCAGAGTTTGAATGAAGGATTTCTGCCAAATACCCCATTTATTGTGGTTTAGTAGCATTTACAAGGAACACTTTGAGATACACATTACAGATAGTGGAAGAGCAAACTCAGAGGTGTTTTCTAGAAAACCCCTTCAGGATGGCCTCGCTGAGGGACAAAGTCTCAGGCCACCAGGCACCTGAGAAGGGTTAGGTAGGCCAAGGCCAAGCCACACCATGAAATAAAGATGAGTCCTGTGTGATGGATGCTCTGGAGGAAGGGAAGACAAGAGAGGGTCACAAAGTTGGTGCAAAGAGATGTCTCTCAGGGCATTTGCAGCTTGAATGACTGACAAGAGGACAGGACAACATGTCACATGTCATTGCAGTTGCCAAAACAGAGAATAATGAAATCTAGTAATCTGGCCAAGGTGTAAAGGCTGATGGGAATGGTACTTTAACAAGGAAGAGAGTAGGAAAGATGTAAGAAAAGACTGCTGTTTTTGTGAACAAAACACCAGTTCTTCATCTTGTGCAAAGAGGATTGGATTTGCCAGACTAAAAGTGATGTACTACAGCTTTGTGATAAAAACATTAATTTTTAACTTGAACTATTTAGTAGCACGTTTCTTACTTTTTTCTTTTAAACATTCACTAAATTGAAGAGCTATGTAAGGGTTTCAGGTACCAAGTACGATACTGCACAGTCATGGTTATTAAAAAATGGAAGTGAATGTATTGCCTGCTCCTGCCCTAACCTCAGCTGGTCTAATTTGCTCTGTTTCACTTACTTGCTTCAAATGCCCAGGCTGCCTTGTGGAAATTTATGCCATTCTACAGAACTTGCTGTATCCTGTGAGAGACCAATGCTGGGAGAGGAAGGAAATTCCAGTTTGATTTTAACACAAAGAACAAGAAGAAATGAAAAATGAAACCATTGTATTTATGCTTTGTGAGGTGTCAGCACATACTTCCTTTTTATGAATTTGAAAACATAGAACTTCTAGTTTTGCCCTTTTTTTTCAAGCGAGAAAATAGCAACAGAGAATACGGTATTTTCATTCATGTAAGGACAGATGATCCATAGAAGAAATGAGCTGTGGCTGAGTAGCAGCACATGCTTTTTATATACATGTGTATATATGTATGTGTGTATAAACACACATATACATATGCACATATATATGTGTGTATATTTATATATATACATGATTCCATGTACATATGTATAGATGTGTGTGTATAGGGGCACAATATCAACAGACATTTACTGGAATCTCTTCTTCAAATAGCAACCTGCCTTGTCACTTGCTGAAAAGGTCCCCAGCCTCTGACTAACCCCTGCATCTACCTTCAATTGTGTCTGGGTTACCTAAAGGTATGAGTGCTATGAAAGAAAAGGGCACAATGTCATAGAATCATAGATTCGTTTAGGTTGGAAAAGACCCTTAAGATCATCGAGTCCAACCGTAAAGCTAACACTGCCAAGTCCGCCAACAACCCGTGTCCCTAAGTGCCACGTCTACACGTCTTTTGAACATCTCCAGGAATGGTCGCTCCACCACTTCCCTGGGCAGCCTGTTCCGATGCCTGACAACCCTTTTGGTGAAGACATTTTTCCTAATAGCCAATCTAAACCTCCCCTGGCACAACTTGAGGCTGTTTCCTCTCATCTTATCACTTGTTACTTGGGAGAAGAGACCGATGACACCCACCTCGCTACAACCTCCTTTCAGGTAATTGTAAGAGAGCGATAAGGTCTGCCCTCAGCCTCCTTTTCTCCAGACTAAAGAACCCCAGTTCCGTCAGCCAATCCTCATAAAACTTGTGCTCTAGACCCTTCGCCAGCTTCGTTGCCCTTCTCTGGACACCCTCCAGCACCTCAGTGTCTTTCTTGCAGTGAGGGGCCCAAAACTGAACACAGTGCCTTGCCAGCACAAAGCACAGGGCAATCACTTCCCTAGTCCTGCTGGCCACACTATTTCTGTTACAAGCCAGGATGCCGTTGGCCTTCGATGCCGTTGGCCTTCGTGGTCACCTGGGCACACTGCTGGCTCATATTCAGCCATCTGTTGACCAACACCTCCCAGGTCCTTTTCCTCCAGGCAGCTTTCCAGCCACTCTTCCCCAAGCCTGTAGCGTTGCATAGGGTTGTTGTGACCCAAGCGCAGGACCCAACACTTGGCCTTGTTGAACCTCATAGAACTGGCCTCGGCCCATTGATCCAGCCTGTCCAGATCCCTCTGTAGAGCCTTCCTACCCTCCAGCAGATCAACACTCCCTCCCAACTTCATGTCATCTGCAAACTTGAAGGGAATAAAGGCAAGCAAGCAGGCAACCTCCTGATTCACACAGAAAAGCAGTAGAATGCCACTATATCCTCATGAGGACATCACAATTGCCCTGAGCAGCCAGGCCTGTGTCACGCTCCACAGATATGCTCCAGACCAAGGCCACAGGCATTTTTCAATTTTGGCCTGATGGCTGCTTTGTGCATCCCTTTGTTTACTGGCTGAGACTGCTGTCTAACAGGAACAGAAGACCTACAGGGGACCTGCTTTGTGTCAGGTCCAGTTCCCTGCTCTTGCAGGTGCTTAACCTACTTCACACAGTTTAATTACTGACTTCCATCATCTGCAACTAGTGAGGCTGAGTGCCTCCACTGTTCCCCTTCCCAAACATGAATCCTCTGATGGAGGAAATCTGCTGAGCCCCAGCTAGGTGATACTCACTGCTTCTTGTGCATCTGCTTGTGCCCCAGGGAGAGAAGGAAATCCACAGCCTCTTCCACTCCCAGACCGTGAGGCTGAATTGTGGGTCTCCATAGCTACTCTGTCTCATTGGCCAGTGCTCATCCTTTTGAAACTGGGCATGGTAGCTACCTGTCTACTGTTTATCCTTTTATCTCACTGGAACAGGATCAGCTCCTCATCACTTGACCCATGCTGTTTTCTAGCACTTTTCTACCCAGCCACCTCTTGAAGAGCAAGTGACTGTTTGGAAAATCTGCCAGCTCTCACATCTGAAAATACCTTTTAATCAAGAGACAATTCCCTGAAACATTCCTCATATTAACAATACTGCAGAACTCCCTCTCCACGCCCCGGTCTGATTTTAGGGTTGGTAACAAAATGCCCACACCACCAATGCTGCACTCCTTTACCAACCTCCACCAAAATGATTTTAACTCAGGTTCTACTTTATTTATTCTCACCAGCACACAATCCCGTTCAGTGTTCGCACTGCTTTTACCTTTGTTTTGATTTCCCTCTTGTGATGGTTGTCCCACCATGCTTCTCCTATCTCTGTTGTATCTGGTTTCAGATCCTGCATCAATACTTCCAGTTCCCCCATTTTCTTGCCAGGTTCCTCAGCATCAGTGTACAAACATAGGACTTACTATCTCTAACTCTCTCTTTCTTGGCCCACCTATACAGAAGTCTGTCAACATCTGATCTTCTTAGAAATCAATTCCTCTGTTAGGAACCAATGGGATCAGCAGCACAAGATGACAGTCAGGGCAGAGTGAGAGGCAGCAAAAGCATTTTTATCTGTTGTGGCCCCTCAGTGCTTTTCAGGATGAAGAACCAGATCCCTAGGGGATGGACATGCTCTCTTTCTATATGAAAAATTGCTCTCGCGTAATTTTGCTGAATAGTGAAGTGATGGCTGGTTTATCTGACAGATGTGGTTTGGAAAAAAAAGTCTGTAGGCAAAATGTTCCATGCAGGAACCAGTAAACATTATGTAGCAAAACTACCACACAAACTTGCTGAGAGGCCAGGTTCTTTCTTCGTTTAAGGTAGGAGTAAGGGGAAGGGGGAAAACCAGTGAAGAGAATGACTGCACTTATAAAAACCACCTTGTTAATCCATTTTCATTTCATGACTTTTCACTGACTTGACATCTTAACCCACAAAATCATTAAACCTAAGGTTCCTTATGGAAGAGATGGCAGTGGATATGAAAAAAACCAGATGAAGCTATACTGATACATACCAATTAAATAGATGCATGTTTTCTCCTTCAATGCTTTCAAATAGAGTGTGAATCAGAGTGAACCAGTACTGTTCTGGGAGAGTTTCACAAGCAACTGTTGGCAATACTGAATGCTACAGATATCTTTATTTTACAGGGCAGGGCATGGATACTGATGGGAAACTTGTCCAAGAAAGCTGCAAAAAGACACGCTTGTTTTTAAGTTCTTGAGCTTTAATATTGCCAAAGTATTTTTTTAAGCTGGAGACACTGCCTGTTCAATCCACTTTTATATCTTTTTGCTTGTAAAGGCATACCTTGTGGGTTGGGCAAGATTCAACTGCTAGAAAAATGCTATCACGTAAGTATTACAGCAATAATTCACATAAATGACAAGCTTAAACCCACTTCTCCTAGCCAGGAATAAGAAGGAAAGAAAAATAAGGAATTCTACTTTTCCTCTTCCTTTCTGCAAATCTTAACGTGAGAGAGATCCCTTGGGATGCAGATCTCCAAGCCATGGAAAGCAGAGCTGGGACTGTCAAATAGCACTGCCTGGCATACTACCCACTCAAGGGCCTCCTGTATCCCATGGCCTCCCAGGCAGCCTACAAGCAAGGAAGCTTACCCCCGCCAGCCCTCCAGGCACCGGGGCGCTGTGGGAGGAGTCCTTGCTCCCACCACCTCAGCTGGCTCATCCACGGGTTTCCTGGGCTACAAACCCAAGTCATCCCCGTTGGCAAGCAAACCTCCACACTCACCATAGCAGATCTATGATGTTGCAGCCAACAGTCTCCAGTTCCCCGAGCTGGAGGCCAATGGGCCCTTGAACAAAAGCAGGCCAAGAACTGAAACGTTCACTGGACCATTTGTGAAAAGCAAACCGCATTCACCTGTGGCCTCCTATTTTGCCAAAATAGCACAGAAATGACAGCTATAGAAGGTGCAACCTGAATTCACAGTTCTTTTTTTCTTTTCAGATCGCTGAGAGAATAATTGTTTTATTTGTCGTGATCAACAGTCAGGAAGAAGTTCAAGGGAAATACGTCGTGTGTGTTTTATTTTTCCTTTGGAATTTATTAGATGTGGTCAGGTAAGGAGTCAACAGCAAAACCATGAGGGAAAATGCAGAACCGCACCCCCACTGTGCTGCAGGCTCATTTCATTATTTCAAAATTGGTAGAAAAGCATACTATCCATTTTAAATAAAAGCTTGGACCTTACAAGCTACTTACTGATTTTTACAAAAATCCGCATAGCTGAGCAGCAGAGTGACTTACAGAAGTAAACTGTTGCATTAACAAAATGTAGTTCAAAGGCTTTGCTCTTTTTAACAAAAATTTAGAAGGAAATCACAACTACCTCCCAGAGAACAGCAATTTCCAAAACTGATTTACAATCCTATTGCTTTATTTTTTTTTTTTAGCATCTCACTTTGATCCAAGATTGGCAGCACAGTAAGGCAGCACCAGTAGAGCTTCTTACTGAGACGGAAAGACTATTCTGCGTTAATTGCACTGTGCTTTCCAAAAAGCCAAGAGCTCCTGCTGCAGAGACTGAGAATTTCGGTGTAGTAGGACATATATCACATGGCAGGGACAACGCAAATGAGGCAAAATGGATAGAAATACAATTCAGGATTTTTATTGCAAAAATTTTTTATGGTGGAAGCTTACCAGTACCTCCCTGTGGTAAAAGTATAATGGTGAAAATTCCACGTTACTGACTTTTGCATCGATATCTGAAGTCAGTAAACATTTCTCAAATGTAACTTAAGCCTCTACAGACCTCAGTTTGTAGACTTACAGCAGGGAAGACATATGGAATTAAGAAGCATTTTAATACGACACAGCCCTCATCGCAACCTCTGTATGGGAGCAAAATTTTTTCTTTCTGCTAAAATAGCTTTCTGCTATTTTAAATGCATTGCTTTGGGGACTGCCTGGGCAATATGGATTTAGGCAGCAAAGGAAACATACGTTATAAAAGAGATGTGAAAAAGGGAAATGTCAGGACTGGCAAGAAAGATTTTAAGTCCGCTTCAGAGTATTTGTGCTACATGTGTTAATAAACTACTACTTGTATTAATTATTTGGATTATTGCTCCATCCCATTTCATTTTGAAATTTGTAAAGCTAAAATAGTAGAACCTAATCTCAAATGAAAGTGTTCTGTGCAGCTGGAGAGAGGCCAAAAGTGTAAACAATATTGGCTGTAAAGTCCTGTCAGCGCATTACAGTCCTATCAATGCATCATTATTTTCTATCATTGCTAAAGAACACAGTCCAGCATCATAGCAGTAACAGCAGCTCTTTAATAGGCAAGATAGTGTGGTCTACAGCAGCAAATGACCAATTCAAATAATAACGCATAGTACAACTCATACAGATTTAGAATTCTTACCCAATTTATTTTACAGCATCTGTGCCATGTCCTAGCATCTCAAAGAAGCAGTCATGTCTAAAAGTGTACAGGAATATATCCCATCCCTGAGCCAACTAGTCTTGAAGTATTAGAAGTTCTTCCACATAGTTCTTCAGAGACATAAGTATCCTGTGCATTATGGCTAATGATATACTGAGAGCAAATTCTGCAAGGTTTTCTATATCTGATCTTTCCTGCTTATACTACAAACAGCCAAAGAACGTGTACAGGGGATGGAGCAGCTGTCTCCTTTTTGTATTGGGTTGAGATTATGCCTAAAAGCAATAATAATAAAAAACAGAGACAATCCTGAAGGTGGCAGACAGCAAACTTGAGAGAAAATGATACATTTATAGCCTATCAAACTCTTCTACAGTCCAGGAATCATGCAAACTTAGTCACATGAATTAATAAGAAGGGAATACAGAAAGTTTGTTTAATGCTGGTTCCATCTGTCAGAAACAGTCCTGGCTAACAGTGGCTTAAAAATCCTTATTTTCATATCTCTAGCAGGACCACAAGGCAAAAAGCCTTTCAGCTGACCAAAAATGCGATCAGACCTGTTTCTATGGTGTTTGGAAAGCTGCTGTACCACTTTTAGATCAAATTAGCTAGGATTAGCTCACCTTTGGAGACTGAAGTCCTAGGCATTCTGGTCTCCCAGTGAGCAACACTAACAGCCACAGTAAGAATAAAACGCTGCAGTACCATTGGAGGGCAACTGCTTTTTTCACACCTACTGCCCCTTCTAAAGTCCAAGGGAGGGGCAGCCATACTACAGATTAAATACCTGTGATTACCTTACTGTTTAGCCTCCTCCAGCAGTGGTTTAGCTAGGTCAGCAGTCATAAATCAGGATTTTCTCAGTCCCAAGCAACAGTCATATTCTGCCTGCCCCTCTCAGTTGTAATATACCTATCTGAAATCCATTTTCTGATAGACCAATATGAAATTGTGCTGGTTTCTGATAAAAGCTTTCGGCCTGGAGGGCTGTATTGCTGTCTGCCTGCTTTAGGGTAGCACCACAGACAACCCTTCCAAAGCAATGAACCATCTACTTTCAGACATCGATTACAGGCTGAACAATACTGTTGCAGTATTGCTCTGAAATTTTCTGATAGGCAGCTCCAAGCTCTTCTGCAACTCCCTTAGATTCTTCAAGAATGTATCTTTATTTTAAAGACATGATCATTCTCTCTGAGCTCATCTGCTGCTCCTTTTGGTGCAGGTACACTTACAACATGTTAGCAAGGATGGGAATATACTACCTACCACTGACATGGCTCAACTTTTCACTGTGCATCCCACTCTATCCCCTTTCAGTTCTGGCTAAAGGTAAGGAGATGGGAAAGGTACCAATTACTTGCTTCCTTAATCTTCTTCAATAAAATTTGATCAGTTCAACTGTGATTTGTGTTTAAGATATTTATTTTTCTGTTGCCAAAGTAGTCATAAATGTTTATATAATCTCATATTAACCTGTGTGTCACCCGTCTTTCTTTTTTGTGCTTTTTTCCTTAATAGGGGTTCTCTGGGGTTTGTGTGTCTGGTTTTAGTTTGGTTTGGTTTTTTAACAGTATGGGAAAGCATTCATTTTTCTGGGTAAAGCAGGAAAATACCCCCACAAAAGACACATGGATTCCCCCATTCCAGACTGACCACATTAGGCAGCAAGTCCCAAAGTTGCCTTCTCCGCCACTGAGGCTGACCTTACTGGCTCAGGCCATACTTAGCAGCTGATCACTTAGACCAGGAAATGTGCCCGCTGAGATCATATTGAAAGCAGTGCAACTACAGGAGTACCAGAACTTCTGACTGAATAGGAAATACTTGCTAATTCTAGTACTAAGAGCAATTAGCACCTCAGACCTACAAACTGAACTCAAGGAGAAAACAACATGTGCATATGTATATGAATGACACGGTAAATTCAGCATATAATATAGCTATCTGTGCCTTAAAAGCAACTGACTTTTATATGAAGCTTTTTGATGATCTTCCACCTCTTTTTAACTAAAGATTTACCATGTTATTTTACAGCATTTGCAATTTGTGTTTCACTGCCTTATTTTGAATCCTTTGGCACATACTCCATCAAGCTACCATTTCCATTCGCCTTTTCAATCTACTTCCCCTATGTTCTGAAAATGTACCTGCTAGTGCTCTTTATAGGTAAGTATCTCATATTCCAGAAAGCTGGGTCTCAACACAACAGGGTTGCCTACAACAACAAAAAATTAAATCAGTATAGCTTCTTTCCCAAACTCTCTCTCTGCCACATCTCCTGCAGACCGCTACAGGGAAGTTTATTATCACCAGCTGTCTCGATTTCTGATGTCTTTCAAATACAAATAATTGAATTTGCAAGAGACACTGTGTGTGAGAAGCATAAAAATACAAAACAAAAATACAGAAATTGCTTCAATGATCCTGGTCTTACAGTTACTTAACTGAAGTTTGCTTTTTTTTTTTTTCCCCCTTAAAAAAAGTCAATTCCCATTTGACCATACCCTCATTCTGTGCAACCCCTCCTCACTCATTTCTCCTAGCTGGTATGAGAAGTTTTATCTAAATTAAGACTTTTATAGCTTGATTATCCAAAGGGGTGAAAAAAGACCCCACCCCCAAACCTGCATGTAAATAGACCCCTTCTTCTCAACAAAATACTTTTGAAAAATTTGAACTGAATTTGCCTGCATTACAGCCAAGTCTTTGTTCTGTCACTGGCTTTAACACTAATTTGAAGGATCTCATCTTTGTGATGTTCCTAAGTTCATGGAAGGAACTGTGCAAAGTTGCCATATGAAGGCTCATACTGTTCCTTCTAAATAAACTGAAGACACTTTGGACTCTACTCCCTTGTCCTTACACCATTTTGTGTTTTGATTCAGGTATGTGCTTTATCATCCAGAACCTCTTCTCCGAAAGGAAGGCACACCTAGGGACAGGCAACATCAAAAAGAAAAGAAGCTAAGTTGATATTTTGTTTGGAAATAAGAAATATATACCCAGTGGGCTGCTGCATATCATAGGTTAAAAAGAAATTAGACAAAGATTTTCAATGCAAAACTTCTGTTTGCATGTACATTATCTGTCTGTGTACAATTTTCAGATAAGGCAGGTCTCTTTAATGCACCTCAAAAATAACGCTGCTCAAAATAACTAGTTACTTGGAAAGTTTTGACTTCAAATGGCAGTAGTATTAAAAATAAATATATTTTTTCTAACATATATTAGAGAACGCTGAAAAAAATTGAAGACTGCCTCCACTCACAATCACACCAACAACCTTTATTTTGGTGTTAATTCTTGCCTCATTAGCAACAGATATTCTGTAATGACAAAATCAATTTAATCTATACGATTATTTTATATTAGGCCAACATGTATGTGCCTCATATATATAAACACTAAATAGGCCAGAACTGGAATCTCTCAAGGAGCAGAAGCTGGAAACTTTGCAACCTATGAGACTCACATGATGATCAGCCCCAGGCATTCACAAAGGATCCCTCACATTCTTGTCCAACCTTCACTTCTCCAAACAAGATTCCAGAAAATGCAGCTAAACCACAAAGGCAAGTGATCAGGTACTCATCTACTGTATATTCAAGGGAATATTTAAGGATCAGAAGTAAAAACTTATAATCATGTGACTGGCAGACATCAAGAATCTCTTTCCCCACAATGATTTTCTTCATGCTTAACAGCAGACAGATACGCAAAAGAAGTGTACAGTAGTCAGGCCAAATATATACTGTTCTTTAAAGGGAAGTGAATGACTATCACAAGCTATGTGCAAAATTCTAAGCGTTTTACTGAAGTGCATTGCTCCTCATACTTCTGTAGACTGACTATCTGTGAGAATGCAACTAGAACATAGTCTTCAAAGGCTGGGAATGAAGAATACAGACAGCAACCCAGTGGACTGTACAAGCAAAAATGGACAAATAACTGCCTAGAGGCTGGCAGGGGCTCTTCTGATATTTCATCCATATTGACTATCACCTACATTTGAATTCAAGCAGGTGGGGGAGAAAAGTGAGGCTATTTTTTTGAGCTTGACTGAAAACTAGGGGGAGGGAGGAAAGATAAAAGTTGGAGGGAAGATAATATTTAAAGGGAAAATGAACACTATCACAAATGAAGAGGCTTTTGCCTGTATGACTTTCTAAACCATGCAGCCTAAGAGGGTATGTAAGGAAAGAGTAAAGCTGGCCTCAATGAACTCATTTGTTTGTTACGAAAGGTCACCTACTATAATTTTTGTTTATTTAATATATGTGGCAGACAATGCCTGCAGACTATTGTGACCACTGGAGTATCTGCAAACCATAAGCAACAAAGTCATGCATGCAATAGTATAGGGTCAACCCTGGATATTTTTTTTGAAAGCACTGCAAACAGAGGTAGGAATTTGGAACTGGTTAGTACTTCCACTTTGGAGTTCTGTCTGACCCAAACTGATTCAAATGTGGACAACGTGAAGAAACGCACAGAGCAGCTGAATAGGATGACAGCTTTGAAGAAGAGAGCCAGAACAAGAACACTTCACATCAAACCACTGTGTAACATGCTAAAGGTGAAACATGGACATTTTTCCCCTTGAAATTCAATCTAATGTGTTTGTCCTCAAACTGTCTAGAGTTAACATGCCCTGTAGGAGGAAACATGACATATGATATTGTACTGGATCTCTGTGGCAAGTGGGGAAGCTGCAGGGATGGCCTCTGTGAGAAGAAGCCAGGGGCTTCCCCGATGCCAGACACAGCTAGTTCCAGCCAGCTCCAAAACAGAGCCATCACAGGACACTGCTGAGCCAAACAGCAAAGCTGATAGCACCTCTGTGAAAACAGATTTAAGAAAAGGTAGAAAACTCTACATAGCAGCTGTGAGAGAGAAGAATAAGAAAAACACAGAAACAGCTCTGCAGACACCAAGGTTAGTGGGGAAAGACAGGAGGAGGTGCTCCACGCACTGCAGCAGATTCCCCTGCAGCCCATGGGGAAGACCATGGTGGAGCAGGTTGCCCCTCTGCAACCCATGGAGGACGACGCTAGACACAATACCCATGCTACAGCAGGTGGATGTGCCCTGAAGGAAGCTGCAGCCCATGGAGAGCCCCCACAGGAGCAAGTTCCTGGCAGGAACTGTGGCCCAATGACAGACCCACACTGGAGCAGCCTTTTCCATGATCCTTTCATGGAAAGGACCCATGCTAGAGCAGTTCTTGAAGAGCTGCAGCCTGTGAGAAGGAACCATGCTGCAGCAGTTCATGAAGGACTGTATCCCATGGGAGGGACCCCAGTGTGAAGAAGAACAAGCATCAGAGATGAAGGTTTACGAACTGACTGCCACCCCCATTCCCTACCCACCCTGCACTTCTTGGGGAGAGAGGAAGTAGAAGAGTCAGGAATGAAGGAGTGAAGTAGAGGTTAGGAAGAAGGGAGGAGTGGGGCAAAGGTGGTTTTAGTTTTGTCTTTGTTTCTTACCATCCTACTCTATTTTTAGTTGGCAATAAATTACTCTTCCCCAAGTCAAGTCTGTTTTTGTGACAGTAAATGGTAAATGATCTCCCTGTCTGCAGGTTAGACTAAGAGTTCTGTAGTTCCCTGGGTCTTCCCTCATGCCCTTCTGGTAAATTAGAATAATACTGGCTAGCTTCCAGTCAGCAGGGACCTCCACAGACTCCCAAGACCTCTGGTAGATGATTGAGAGGGGTCCTGCTGTAACATCTACCAGCTCGTTCAGTACTCTGGGATGAATCCTGTCAGGCCCCAGGGACTTACAAAGATTCAGCTGATGCAAGTGGCCATTTACAATTTCAGTGTCCACAAAAGGAGAGTCACTGCTCCTACATGTCCTCTAACTCAAGAGAACCAGGCAGCCCAAGGTCTATGAGTATTATTAAAGACTGAGGCAAAAAAAAGCACTGAAGGCCTCTGCCTTTTCTTCATCTCTGTTTGTCAGGTGACTATCTTCACCAGGTATTGGTCCAATACCTTCTTTAGACCTCCTCTTACTCTTAACATATGCAAAAAATAATTTTTTCTTATCTGACCCAACACTGGCCAGTTTCAACTCTAGTTGAACTTTGGCCTTTTGTGTTTTCTCCCTACACATGTGAACCACAGCTCTGTACTCTTCCTGTGAAGCCTGACCTTGTTTCTGGAGATCATACAATTTCTTTTCTGCCTAAGGTCTGAGAGGAGTTCCCTGTTCAGCCAAGCTGGTTTTCTGCCCTGCTTGCTTGACTTTTGGCACAATGGGATTGACTGCTCCTGTGCTTCTAAAATGTGGTTCTTAAAAACTGAGCAGCACTCATGGATCCCTAAGCCCTCAAACGCAGATTCCAAGGGCACACTGCTAACTAGCTCGCTGAGCAGCTTTAAGCTTGCTCTCTTGAAATCCAGGGTAGCAACTCTGTTGGCCTTTTTTCTCATTATGCCAAAAAATTTAAACTCAACCATTTCATGATCATTGTGGCCAAGACAGCTAGCTACCATCACATCTCCCATGAGTCCTCTATTCAAAACCAACAAGTCTAAGAGGGCATCTTTCCTAGTTGGCTTACTGAGTGCATGTGACAAATTATCTTCAACATACTTCTGGAATTCCCCAGACTTGCTTGTGACAGTGGTCTGGTATTCCCAGTTGATGTCTGGGAAGTTGAAATCTCCCATAACTACAAGGGCTACCAATCCAGAGATTTCTCCTAATTGCCCATAGAATAAATCATCAGTGCTATCATCGTGGCTCAGTGAACAATAGTAGACACCCACAACAACATCTGCTTTGTTTTCCATCCTCCTAATCCTCACCCAAAGGCTGTCAACCACATCATCCCTAAGTGTAAGGGCTGTACAGTCAAACCTCTCCCTTATGTATAGCAGAACTCCTCCACCTTGCCTGCCCTGCTTATCCCTCCTGAACTGCCTATAGCCCTGCATCCAGCACTCTAGTCTTGAGATTCATTCCACCAAGTCTCACCAATACCAGTGACACCATAGCTCTGGGAACTGACCAACACTTCCAGTTCATACTGTTTGTTTCTCATACTGCATGCACTAGTGTATAACCATTTCAGATATGCTCCTAAACCAATGCTCCCTGGAGCTGTGTTAGCATTGCCACCCTCAAGCAGTGCTATGCCATCCCTTGGCTTACCTTTTCTACTGTGTATCAGTATAGTTTAATTCACTCTCTACTATGCAAACTAAAACACAGCATGTGGGCATTACCCAGAGATTCCCTTTAAAAAAAGGCAAACTTTTAATCTGAATTAAAACGCTAATACATATGCAAACTCAGATGAGTAAAGGTGTAAGTTAGTTTGAAACAGTACACTAGAGATGGCACCATTAAACGTGACATATTTGGCTTTGTTAGAGGTTACTTAGAAGTGCACACAATTGGAAATGTCATGCACTGAGATACTGACTCAGTGACAACCACTTTCAGTGAATCCTTCTGTACATTCACCTTTAGACTGTCTTCTCAGTATACAGCTGCATACAGAGCAGGAAATTACCATTATTATACACTATTTCGGAAATACAAACAAGTACTGCATTAATCCTCCACACACCTAATCACTGAAGAAATGTCTAATCGCTGTGGGAAACTCACTGTAACCTGTTACGTGAGAAAAGCCCATAAAGAAGTCAGAGGAGAATTTCTTCTGCAGGGGAGATGTTATCAGTCCTGAAATAAAGAGAATTCCTGCAATAGGGCGTGGCTTCTAGATGTAGGGCGATAACATTTCATGCAAGGTGGTCAAAATCAACAACGCTCTCACTAGTACTGCTTTGGAAGACATTACGGACCAGTGCCCAAGCAATTATATTCAGTTATTTTGTCTACTCTAGTGAGGAGGATTGCTAAATACAAACCCCCTTTTAAAGTCTGTCTTAGCCAGACCGCAAAGTGGAAAAGTTCTCTATTCCTTCAGAACGAGAAGAGTATTAAATAAGGAAAATGGCAGGGGCTAATCTATTTAAGATGGCAAAGGTGGAAAAGAGTTGCTGTATTGTCTGTCCTTTTTGCCTAGAGGCAGAGAAAAACTCTGCTTATGTGCAAAGGAAGGTAAAGGAGACGAGAACAGTTAGAAGTGGAAGGAAAACCGAAACCATCCTGGAGCTGGGGACATAGCAGCTATTAGGATCGTTGACTTATTTCAATGATGTTGATAAAGCTGTTGCAAAATTGACAAGCATACCACCGCTTTCAGAAACGCTGCTCACATTATATACCTTTAATGTGTTCTCACTACTGCGCAAGAGCATCATGTTATTACTAAAAAAGAGTTATCAGTTAAAAAGTAATGCTCATTCAGAAGTCTGTTACACTAAAACATACTTTAGTAAATACGCTACATCCAAACAAATTTTACGAGTTGTTTTTTTTTTACTCACTCCTACAAAGCTTCCATGAGTTAAAAGAAATACTCCACTCCAGCTTTCGAGGCTTCCAGCTGTCATTGAAACAACTCAACTGAAACCATTGAATGTGTGTTTCTCATTTATAATCAGTAGAGCCCAAACCATGCTACATAGTTTGTTAAAGAACAACACCCCATCAGTGATAAACAAAACACTGTTTTTCATCTTATGAGTCTTTGGGAGGAGGTAAAAGGATGGGGAAAAAAAATAATCCAAAACCTTCTGATCGGAAATCTCTTTGAAATTGGTCTTCTTGATGCCCGAGTTGTAATATTACGCTTTCAGGTATGAACAGTTTTCTTCATTTGACAAGATACAGTATGCAGCTACCACCCATATGCTTTAGTCCACACTGCCTTCTTCTTGAACTCTGCAAGAGATCTCAAGGCCAGAAGTGTAACTGTGAAGACAAGGACAAATTACATTAATCTGTGCAGTCCAAACTGGAAAAGATGTGACAGTATTCTCCCCAGTCATTTTACTAACACAGGTATAGATTCAGTGTTCCTTTTACTGACTCTTTTCATGACTTTTTACAGACGAGAGTCTCCAACAACCCTTAGCATTGTTTCTGGTGAAGATTAGCAGACACAACAGGGGAATTCTGAAATTTATCAGGGAGTGACTAAAGACTGCAGACCCTCAAAACAAGGCTAATTATCCTAGTAATGCAAATAACTTATAACCAGATTTCATGTTTAGGTCCAACAAATCAGGTGATTCAAAGGAGATGCCTTGTGTTAATGGAAAGAAGCACAAGCACACTTACTTCCCTTAAGAGTATTTGCGGTGTCCTCTTAAAATGACTTGCACAGATTATATTCACAATCTTACATCTCTAGGTGAGCAACGGAGTGCATACTAGGGCCACATGCCATTACTGTAATTCAGGTATTTCCCATCTTTCTTTTCATACATCTTTTCAGCAGCCCTCATTTCTCTATCCTTTCTTGTCAGACCACTCTACTAGGCTGTCACTTCCTGTCTCCTATGCCTTCCCCACAGTTCAGTCTTCAGTTGCACCTGAATAAATTGTTATGTGATTTCTATTCTAGCACTGGAGTGTTTCCAAATAGCATGTTGCATTTTATTTTTAAGGGTAACTTCAAAAACAGTTAGATCTATCACTGAAATATGCTTGTAGGACCAGATGTACCTTTAGGTTCTTTGGATTTTCAGTAGTACATTCTAAGCATCAGCAGATGAGACAGCAAATATAAGAAGGTGTTACAGACACAAATGTTTATCTACGAAGGTTTCCTTGAATACAAAATATAGCTCTCCTATATATGCTAATAGTATAGATTCATCTCACTCCTTTTAACAACTGGATTTTGATCTGTACTGATAAATTATGGAAAAATAAGGACCCAATATAAAATATCCTACCTTTCAGCAGGTCCATGGAAGATTCTGATAATGCTTCCTTAGGACTTTCCATCATATTGATCAGCCAGTCAATAAACTAAAGATTGAAATATAAAGGAAAATCTGAATTAAAAGAGCCTCTGTATCAGAACACCACAAATTCTTTTCAGTTTGACAGGCAACATCTGGTTGCTACTAAACTCATAGTTACCTAATCAGAGGCAGTGGCCAATCAAGCTTCTGCCCAAACTATCCAAACGCCCTAGAGTACATCTCACTGTCAGTGTAATTTCTCCCACAGCTGGATCTGAAATTCCCTTTGTTCATTCTCATTACCTCAGCAATAATTCTTTGTAATGAAGAAGGCACAGTAAATAGTTTCCCTCCGTCTTGCCTGTTCATGCCTTTAACCTATTAATATGATCCCTTCTTATGGGTCTCTTGTCCAAACGTTTTACTGCAAATCCTTCAGAACTCTTACTGCCTTTGTCCCTCTTTTGACCTCTCTCATTCTTCACTGTTTTTCTGGCAGTGCAGGGTGCCTGGAGGACAACGTGATATTTCAAACTTATCAGGATGATTTTCAGGGCATAGTCTCAAACTCTTCCCTAAAGCCTAATTAGGCATATTAACATGCATTCCTCCGACATTCTGAATTCTGACTTCAGTGGTACCTCTGGGCACTGGAGTGTACAGGAGCCAGTCCTTAACAGATTCTGGTTTGCACAAACCAGGTAATTAGTAATCTATAGGTTTATAACAATATTTCTATGTATCTCAAACACAAGCAATCTACAGCAGGCTTGCCAAATTTGGCACAATTTTCCACACGTATTTTCAACTTATATCTGAAAATAAATGACACACACTACAAACTGCACAGAAGATCTTTGATTCCCTAAATTGCCACTGTGGTGATGTCCAACTGCAGAGGATCTGTCTTTCAGTGTTCAAAAGACTGACTTGCTACCAGCAGCTGCCAACTCTCCTCTCTCACCTGTACCCTCTTAAGAGTTTGACTCCCAAAATTGGAATGTTTTTTGTTCTTTGCAACTCTCACATTTTACTTGAGAAACCACATTCAGTCTTTTGAGACAAGTCATATCTGATTGCAAATAAAGAACAAGCTCACAAGTCAGATGCAATAGATATAGAGGAAATAACTGCTCTGCCTAAGACTTTAGCTAGCTACTAAAAAAGGGGTGCTTTCTGACTGTTGGAAAATGCTTACCGCTACATGCAATTTTACCTTCTGTGTTTGTTCTTTCCAAACCTCTTTAGCCAGCAAAAGGGAAATGCTGCTTGGAAGGAGAGTGAGAGTCTCTTGCACAGCAAGCTTGTCAGTGGGGTGCCTGCCAACGTGATTCTCAGATAATTCTGGTAATACCATTTGGTGCTTCCATGGTGACCAGTTAGCACTAAGGCCAAGCAGTAATGGTGCACCATGGTCAGCCCAGGCCACCACAGAAGCTGCAAACAGCCACAGAAGGAAATCTATGCACTAAACAGGAAAAAGGCAAAAATGCACTTTATTAAATGAATAATACAGAAGAGGAAGAAAACCCCAATAAAAAAAACCCCAAGCCAAAAATCCAGATGGTGGCTTGCTCTTCAAAACAATCATCTGAAAATTCAGCTAACATTCAAAATGCAAGAACTAAAAAGTTCTTAATATTCTCTTATGCTCTGAAGCAGCATAAGCCTTTTTCTAAACTCCAAATCAAACTAAAATATCTACAGAAAGAAAAGCAAAACCACACTCTTCTAAAATCATCCTTTAGATTAAGGCTGACCCACATTTCATTTAAAACGAGGAAATAACTTCTTTACAGCAAGCTGACTGTTGAGGAAAATTAGAGATGGTCACCCTTGTGGTACTGCAAATGGTTGGGAAATACTGCAGCAATGTAATGAATGCCTTTCTGATCTAAGCAGCAGCTTATTTTATGTCCTCAGCCAGAAGACTTAAGCAGCTGAACAGAGTAACAATGAACAATATTAGTTCCCTGAAACTGTCCAAGCCCTCTTAGAAACAGCAGCTGCATAGTTTTGACCTGCATAGACAGTTCTATTGGCGAATTCAAATTTTTGCTTTAATTGTTCTAAATACAGTAAATTCAAAGGAATTATTTTCTTTAGTTGCCTTTAGCTTCTATCATAATTTAAATGTCATGGTTACTTTAAAGTAAGAGTTTTAAATGCACAGACATTCACAAAAATCAACAAGAATTTCTCTATGGAGGCAAGATGACATAAAAGCATGGGGAATAATACTTATTGCTGAGGAAGAATGTGAAATACATCAAAAACTCCTTTTTTCCTGAAAGCTGCAAAGTACTTTCACAGCATGTACCTCTTTAAGATTGACATTTTGTAAGGGTGTTGACTGGTATGCTAGGTTTCTGATGTAGCCCATCAAGTCTAGCAGCCAGTCCATTCTTTTCAGCACTCCTAGAAGAACAAAAACATTGACTCACATAACACTAGAATGCACCACTTTTCATTAAAAAGCAAGCACAGGGAATCACTATAGCAACAAAGCACTGACTGTGGAAGAACAATGATCACCAATACCACTATCACATTTGATTCATGGTTGCTACTGACAGAAGGCATACGGGCAATTAAACTGTACAAAAACTTTGCTTAAAATGCAGGCAACACACTGGACACACAGAAAAAGGAATGCTGAGCTAGAATTATTTCACATTATGGCAGCCTGCCTGAACTTTTTGCCCCAGTACTTCATCTAAGTCTAGCACTGATGTCACTGTACATTGGGCAGGAATGTGGGGAGTGCTGCGAAAATCCTCCTACAGCGCAGAGAGGATCAGTAAAATACAGTTAAGGCATGCAAATAAAATCAGCCCTCAACCCAAGGATGGAACATACTTAATTGATTCAGATTCTGCTGTCCAAAATTTGTTCTACCTCCTACAAACTAATAACCATCTTCACCTTTGAGACCATATCACTTCGTACACTACCACTTCCTTGTACTCTTTACATGTGCCCTCTTTCATGTTGCCTCCTCTTTTACTCAGAGGAACCTCACTTCACTCATTAAAAACTGACTACTGTTTGAAGTTCTTCAACCACAGCTGGCAACTAAGGCATCTAGCAATGTAATGCTTTGAAGTTGTTCTGTGAACACAGGCAGCCAAAGATGCTTCTGCCATGAAAATGAGGAGACCTCATTCTTGCCTCCCTCTGTTCTTGTTTCTTCCTCCTTTATCTCCTGTGTGATTCTGCTACTTCTCTGGCATCAGCTCCAGTGCTTTATCAGATCCTTAGCTGAGACAGCCCAACTCATTAACCAACCAGAACTATCTGGTATGGTTATAAGGAGGTGGAAGGGCAATTTGTTTCCTGGGTTAACTCAGTGCAAGAAGTTCAGAAAAGCAAGCTATCTCCTTGGTTCAACCAATCTCAAGGGAACATGCCCCTACATACTGTCTCACACACTGATATATCAGATATTAGATCTGAAGGTTGCACAATTACTGGTCTCTGACATGCTATGTACATTTCTAATGCTAATGCTACTGTACACTGAAAGTCAAAAAAGACTAGGAAACACAGATCTAGTCAAAAGTCTGGTCTGCAAACAACCTGGCTGAGATAATGACTTACAGCTGATCCACAGAAACATAAAGAATTGGAGAAAAACATAAAAGCCATATTTGATACAAGTATTTGAAGAGCAGAAAAATTCTGAAGATTGAGTAGTTTCTAATATGGAGAAATTTCGAAACACGTGGGTTAAACCATCTTAAAATTATTTTAAAAGAATTAGTGTAGATCCATCGATATCTGTGACTTTGTTGTTGATTCTTCTTTAAGCCTGACCTTACCTGTGTTTTCATGGTTCACAATACGAGCATGATAGAAACCATGCAAGAGCATCCATAAAATACTTTCTTTCTGGTGATATCCTGCCACAGTATCAATCACGGCACTCAAGTTCATCAGAGGCAGTCTGCCTTGAGAAATTAAATACACTTTCGTGAATGTGGCCTTCTCTATATTGTTCTGCAAATGCAATTAAAACCAATGTTAAATTAAAATGCATTCCTCTTTATAAAAAAAGGGGAAAAATTCTTTGATTATCTAGCAGGCTAATTTTTCTTCAATACAATTATGAAACAGAAGAATGTACATATTACTTTAATTTTACATGCTTCTAAATAGTGCAAAGTGCAACTCAGTACTGTTTGACTGTTTTCATACTTCTTTAAATTTTACATTCCCCTTTAAACTGAAATGAGCCAGCTTGACCGTTCTGGAGACTCACATCTCTTGCAAGACAGAGTCACTGCAGTGACAAAAAGGGTTTTCTAAATGGTGTTTTCCAGTGTGGAAATAAGACCTCAAAGATATAAGGAAATGACAGTTCAGTTTTTCTAACCTGTTTAAATGCATGATTCTCTAGCGAATCTGCCAGTAAACAGAACAACAAGGTTTTATGTCATGGGTGTTTGTTTGTAACAACCTGATCTGAAACCATCAAGTCCTTCCACGCAGGTAATTTCTTAGCATTTCAGCTGCTAAAAATTCCACTGCTGATTGATTCCACTGGTGAGCGAGAAGCTGAAAGCTTTTCTATTCCATTGTCATCCCTAGCCATCTTGTCCACCAGGAAACATTCTGAGTGTGAATGCAAACTTAGCACATTAAGTCAAGAACGGAAGGTTGTTCAGCCAAAGTATTTCACATTTTTAACTGAAGCAAGGATCCACCAGTTCAAGCACAGCTAGTCACTGGGCTGCATTTATGGTGGTTATGTTAACCAAAGAGGACTATGGTCTGCCATTTGCATCATTGGCCTTGGCTTCAGAGGATCTAACACCATTCCTGTTCTGCTAGGAGAGCCCTGCCTGACCTTGACGAAGTTACTTAAACTCTCCAGTTCAAAGCTCCCAGGTCAAACCAGTAGTATTTCAGTTCCCTTGAGAAAGTTTTGGATATGGGCTCTTGCCGCTTTTGCTTCTCTCTGCTGCCTGAAAATTAGAGCCAGAACACTCTTACTTGCATGGCAGATAAAACAGAGCTCTCAATGAGCTAAAACATGCTGGTGACAGGAAAAATGTTAAGGCATGCTTCTTTCACAAGATTTGGTGATAAAAGACCAGAAGTAAAACAGCATTACCTTAGAGATCTGGAAAATGTGATCAATCTCTGAATCAGCCATTTCTGAGATACATTTTGCTACATCAATATACATCTCCAGTTCACCTCTCTGGAAATAGAAAAGTAAATGCATATTTAGATGTATACTTCCAGGTTTCTTCATCATTAAATTGGTAAGTCCAGGAACTTCCTTAGTGATCATGATAAATATTTAATCTAGTCTCTAGCCTCATTTTATTTATTCTATTTTAGAAAGTCTGTGTTTGTTGGGGACTTCAATGTACTTAATTATTAAGGAATAATGGTATCTGAAAACTTTCAAAGAATTTGTTTTCTTTTCAATGGAAAAGTGCCTTTCCTTGGAGATATTTTCTGTAGCTAGACAGTTTCTTTAAATCATTGTGAGAAGCTTAATCCTCTGTGGGGAAAATACCCAAACCCTTCTGATTGTTCTCTGCTTCTGTTTTAATAACATTTATTTCAGTACTAATACTGTATTTTTCCATTACCAAATCATTTATGAGGGAAAAGTGCACATTAAATTGGTTTCACAACTTAGTCATATTGTAAAGAATATCCGAAAGTAACTTAAATTGAAATTATGCAGGCATCTTAACTACTATCACTAAAAATTTCACATCTACTTCATGTTTCAAATCTGATGGGTCAGTGCAAAAAGATGGGACTTACCATCAGTTAAAAATATCCAGTTACAATATTCATACACCTTATACTTACTCCTTACCTGAACTTCATTTGGTAGAAGCTCAAATATTTTCTCCACAGCCTGGCACAAAAAGCTCCAGCAGTACTGGGCAGGGTTTGGAAGTTTCATTGCCTGCATGAGCCCCTGTAAAACACACTGGCAAATTTCTGGTTTTTTGGTGCGGTTCTTCACCTCGAATTGTTGTATCACAAACACTTCTGTAAAAGACTGTAGTTTGTCTTCTGCAACATGTTTCATCCACAGAGGCAGGGACATGAAAAGGTATTTCTGGGTTTTCATCTGAAAAGCAAAAACTTCTGCTTAGTTTCAGGTTCTAGCTCTTCACTGACCTTCAAGTATTGTTATAAAGGATGAATTTATAAAAAAGTGGCTCAAACACCACTTAAAAAAAGCACTCAAAGTCATAAATACTTCTCATTTCTTCTTCCCTCTTTTGACGAATTGCTTGAATTAAGAAGAGTTCAAACTTGTCAACATTCTATTTTCCTTAAAAATTGAGGAACTTTCTTTTTATGAACCCTAGATATCATGTCTCTGTACCGGCAGGACAATTGTAATTTCCCTATATGGTGCCCACTGCATTCCTACATAAAGCATACTGACTAACTAGACAGCCAAGGACAGAAGTATGGTACTCCTAGCACCATTAATATTACTACCTAGTGAGGAAGAACAAATAATTACCTTGAAGGATCCAAAGCTCACACACTCTGTGGCTGAGCTCATTTTGTGACCTCAAATCCCCATTGCAGTGAGAAACTGGTGTTCAGAAATAAAATCTTTCTTTTTTTGGTACCTTATCAATTATGTATCTTAAAATTGCCACCAAGTGTTTGCGTATCTGTGAAGATGAATGAATTAAAAACTACAAGACAAAAATACCCCTTGAAGAACTGGAAAAGATCACAGAAATCCACATTGGATTTTATGGGAATTGTCATGAACGTGTTCCTCAATCTGTATAAACTGACAGAACTGCACAGTCAAGTGAACATGTTCCTCAATTTGTATAAACTGACAGAACTGCACAGTCAAGTGCACTGTGGGATTCAGGGAGTTTTATATACTGTATCATGGAGTCCATGTTGTACCTCTCTAAGAACTGCACTGTAGTGGAGGATAAGCCCAAATTTGATTATACTATAGGTTAGTCTATTGACTATCTACAGAATTAAGGCAAGGCTTTCAAGAAGTAACACATTTTACTAGATCAAGAGACACTGCTAGAAGAAGCAGGCAAGCTTTTGGACAGATACATTGGACTTTTTTCTAAGACTATCAGCTGGTATAATAAAAGATACTTTTTTTCTCCCTACATGCCATGCCTTCTTACATCTCTAGGTTGTCAGAGCTATAGCATAAAACGAGGGAGAGGAAAAAGATCTTAAGCAATCTAAGTAAAACCAATGTAGCAGATCTTAAGTTTGCCTTGAATTTCAAGGTGCCAGAACAGCCTTTCTCTCACTATAAATATTCACTAAACAATATTTCTGCAGGATTCTGAACCCAGTAATCCTTTTCTGGTGAGACATCCTAAACATCATCACTGAGGAATCCTATAGGAAAGAAGGAGGTGCTGAGGTCCCACAGATTTTCTGACATACATACACTGAGACTGTAGACAAGGGGAGGTGCCACCCACATCCCCAAAAGGATTGCTGCATTTTGAGATGACTGGGCCTGTGTCACAGCCAGTTGAAGGCAGAGATGTTTTACCTCATCGCCTAAAGCAGAAGAAAACAAACGGAAGTTATGAAGAAGTTATTATCACTTTAAATTTGTTCTCAACTCATAAAATAAAGGAGTCTTATTGTTCTACTAGAGCGCTACATTAAAATTTGCTTTTCTAGAGCTGCTGCTTAAAGCTTTTAAGCACATACATGTTTGAAGTCTCCTCATCCCATTCATGCACTTTCAGCAAGAAATCTCAGGATTTGTCCAAGTTCATTTCAATTCACTCAAGAATAAAAATGTGGGAATGGTAAGAAAAGTAAGAATTAAAAAACTCCTTGCCAAATAAAGAGAAAATTAAATCTACAGAAGGAGAAATGAGACAATATTCCTTCCTGCTAAATGTAGGAGTAATTAGCATTTGTTCACATTTCTGCTCTTCCATGTTCATATAATATGTCACAGAACAGAGGTTATTCACTGTTACTGCTGTGGATGCTTGGTTGCAGCATTCTCCAGGTTAACACATGGGAAGACCTTACTGTGCATAGAGGTTATGATGGTTATGGAGTCCTTATTGGTTTCCCTTTAAAATCCGCTTAATGACTGGTACAGCCTGTTTCTTAATAGAATAACTTGTCATAAATATGTGGAAGAGGTACTTTGAGCAATGGCATGGCTTCCATACAGTTCATGATTGCTACAGCAACATAAAGACAAACAATTTTAAGTATACTAGCATCTGACCCATTAGACAGAAGATACATTACTGTTAAATGTCAGCATAAACCTTAAATAGGTGCTTTGCAAGTTAAAAAGTTCTTTCAGTAATGAAAGTGGCAATCTATATAACGTGACTTTATACAGTTCACTAATATTAGTGCATGAACAAAGCAAAGATTTAAGAATCTAGTATCAGGCTCTTCAAAATAAAGTATCTTATACAAGAAGTTAAGTCATCTGCAGAACTTGGAAAGGGTGAAATTGTAACAAGATACTTTGGTAAACAATCAGAAAATTGTCTCTCACTAGCTTGGACTGCTAAGACACAGATTATGGTTTGCCTATGACTGTTCACTTCAGAGCACTACTGAATAACAAACAGGTACTACTTCAATTACATTATATAGCTTCTGCTCAGCAACAACTGCAATAAACCTTGTAAGATGGGAAAGCAATCTGTTATCTTCAATATGTTTACAGACGAACAAATCTTCACAGTAGAATTTGTGAAACATTTAAGGTTCATAAAAACAATCATGAATTCTCAGACATGGATAACAGTGACCTAGGGAATCTGAGAGAACTGAGTACATACTCTTAATTTTCATAAAAATATCCATGATATAGCTGCTCCAGAAAAAGCATGTTAAGAGTGCCAGGTCGAGGGACATGATTCTCCCCCTGTACTCTGCTCTCATGAGACCCCACCTGGAGTACTACGTCCAGCTCTGGGGCCTCCTAACATAAGAAGGACATGGGCCTGCTCGAGTGGGTTCAGAGGAGGGCCACAAAGATGATCAGGGGTCTGGAGCACCTCCCCTACGAGGACAGGCTGAGAGAGTTGGGGTTGTTCAGCCTGGAGAAGAGAAGGCTCCGGGGAGACCTTATAGCAGCCTTCCAGTACCTAAAGGGGGCCTACAGGGAAGATGGGGAGGGACTCTTTCATCAGGGAGTGTAATGATAGGATGAGGGGTAATGGGGGTGGTGAGGCACTGGAATAGGTTGCCCGGAGAAGTTGTGGATGCCCCATCCCTGGAAGTGTTCAAGGCCAGGCTGGATGGGGCTTTGAGCAACCTGGTCTAGTGGAAAGTATGCCTGCCCATAGCAGGGGAGTTGGAACCTGATGATCTTTAAAGTCCCTTCCAACCCAAACCACTCTATGATTCTGTAACTATTAGGTCATAATACAACTGTTCTGCGTTATACTTTCTAGCACAACATGACTATTGCTCATTAGCACACAGCAAGACCTATTTCTGCATGTAAATATAATCTAGAGAAGGGTGTGCAACTTCCACAACACTACAGAGGGCCAGTCAAGAGAGATTATGTATAAAAATGTAGACTATGATGCTGTCTGAAGTCAATAAAACTTAGTCACAAAACTGATGTACTGTTTCCTCTGGAATTCCCCTGATTGACAAAAGTAATACTCCTAAATGAAAAACAGGAATAAAAAAATCCCCCATACATTTAACAAGTTTCAGCTATTCATAAGGTTGCATGCCAATTTGCATCAGCAGAGCTCAGTATAGGAAATTCTTTCACTTATTCTTATGAAAGACTTTACAATCAATTGCAAGAATACCAAGTGAAACAGAAATTGCAGCTCAAGTATAAGCAAAATGTTTAATATGTAGCCAAAATCCTTCTGTATCTAGCAAGTAGTTGTTCCTCATAGGACATTAATTAGTTACATTTTTAGTGCTTATACAAGCACTCTGTATAAGTAAAATAAACACCAGAAAGAAATAAGAACAACCTTCCATATTCTGGGCTGTACAGCACAGCAATTTAAATGCAACAGTTGTAAAAGAATCTGCAAGGCCAGTAATAACAGTTACATATATCAGGAGAAACAAAACTCAGTGGAATCAAACAAGGGAATACAGAACTTCGCACAGTAGTTTGTTGGGTTTTCTTAAGGAAATGAGTTTGAAACTCAGACACTTATACCAACCAAAACAGGCACCGACAGATATCCTGAGTAGAAAAATATTATACAAGCTGTTCAACACAATACTTCAGGATCAAAGCTACTCTACAGCACGAAGAAAAATGCTCTTAGAAGCACTGACAAAATCAGGATCATGATAGAAAAAGGGATATGCTTTTCTCTGTCACCCAGTGTAATTTAGTAGAAAGTGTATTTCAGACTAGTGATAGCTAGATTAACTATGGAACAGTTCAAACTTGTGATAAAGCTGCCTGCAGCCTCTGACACAGGCATTGGACCAGCATTTAGTGGATACTGAAAATAAGATACAATTAGTTGAGTTTCATGATGGGCTCTTCTTACTGTAAATAGTTCAAATGAAAAATTTGGTCCAATTTCACCAGTGGTTTAGGTAACTTCCAATACTCCTCCCAACTTCTCAGCTCTGATCTTCTCTAGTTTTTTATTGAGTTAAAACAAACTGTGTCCACACGGTGATCACAAATATATGCTTGCAAACATTAAAAAGTTGGTCTTGAAAGCATAGTAAACACTTCAATCCCTGCAATAACTTCAAGCCCTGAAGTGGGCTCTAAAGTTTTTGAAAGCTGTGTTAGTAAAGAAGTCCTGTGACAAGTACAAAAGACTTAATAGAAAACTATTAACCTTACCAAAGTTTAGCCTCATCAAAGGAGAAAGAATGGATGCCCAGTTTACAGGTGGATACTGATGGCTTTCTCCAACTAATGCAATGGGTGCCAGTGCTACTTTCACCAGCTCAGCTGGGACAGATTCAGGGCCTGTAACAGAAGATTCAATCAGAGTCTGAGTTTTATACACACACATTTGGCTAAACAGCTCAGGAAAAAAATATGAGCACTGCACTGAAGACCAATCTGTAGGGAAGAACTGAAAAGCATTATAGAATTACTGTTATTTCTTTTTGTATCTGAGAATTAGCTATCTCTTGTTTGTAATCAACAGTTGTATTTTTAACATTTACGTCCTATCAAAAAAGGCTTTTTGTTACTGATAAATAGAAGCTTTCAGGTTCCTTCTCCTTGAACCAATTTATGACTTAATTACAGATATTCATCTAGTAGGGTAGTATTTTTGCATTTGTTAGTAGGAGAACAGCGAAGTTTTCTGACACTGTTCTTCTTCCCGATCCTGCAGGTACAGGCCACAAAAACTGTCAGACAGGTGCTAACCTTTGATACATACTGTGTTCCTTAAACAAAGGGAGTTAAGTCAATGAAAGTCCTCCTGGAGGCAAGGCATGGGCAATTTTTACCTCCACTGAAAGCAAAGCCTGCTTCATAGAACAGCAGTGAGCTCACTTTGCTCCACAGAGGAATAATCTCATTTGCTTTATCATCCTTAAGACTGTACTCCAAGGCATTTCTTTTACTAGCACTTGTTATGTAAGAGCATACTTTCTTCAGGTTCCTTTGCATTTATCACACATTGCCGTAACCCATCTGAACACCACTATGTTACAGAAAATCTTAACCTGGGATCACTGAAATAAGGGGCAGCATAAAGTTTGTCTGATTATGGAGTACTCCTGAGGATACATGCTAACACTTAAAGTGATTTGACTTTCATTCCCACAGGGAAGATATATCATCTCACAGACACACAGGGAAGGGGAAAGGTTTAAAAAGTCATAAAAATTCAGTGGAGAAAACTAAAGCCCTAACTACACAATTCTTTTTGAGTGTTATTCATTTCTTGTTTATAGATTAAATATCCCACACTAGTGAATTTCAAATTAGTATTTAGAAAAGTTCTCTTAGCAAATAAGAGCAGGTTATTAAGGTCACCTTTTATAGTCATAACAAATTTCCCAGAGGGATACTGTAGTTTGACCCCTTCTTACCTTTCTTTCCACTTTCAATGGCAAAGTCAATGGCTGCCCTGATAAAGCTGGTTTCAGGCAAGTAGCTAAAATCTGGAGGAACTGTGAAGACAAAAGGACTGTTTATATACTAAAACATGCCAGCAGAAATTATAACCTCCAGCTCCCATATAAATTCAAAGGCCAAACTGAGCTATGTTTGAGCTAACTAATTCTGTAGATGACTCAAAGCATTTAGACCACAAGATAATTGATAGATGTATTTGCTTTTCCACTTCTAAGGCAAGCTAAACATTTGTGTTGGTGAGAGGTGCCAGGTCTAAAAAAACAAATTCATTGACCAACTGAAAAGCCAGGGATAAGAACTTTCTTAAAATGTATCAGCCACTGCAAGTCAGGCTTTAAAAGTGTATTGGGTTTGTGTGCCAAGGTTTTGGTAGCGGGGGACAGGGGGGTGACAGGGGTGGCTCCTGTGAGAAGCTGCTAGAAGCTTCCCCTATGTCTGATACAGGCAATGCCAGCTGGCACCAAGATGGACCCACCGCTGGCCATGGCCAAGCCAATCAGCAACACTGGTAGAGCCTCTGGTATGACATATTTAAGAAGGAAAAAAAAAAGTTGCTGCGACACAGAACTGACTCCCGTGGGACAGACCCCACGCTGGAGCAGGGGAAGAGTGAGGAGTCCTCCCCCTGAGAAGGAAGGAGCGGCAGAGACAACGTGCGATGAACTGACCCCAACCCCCATTCCCTGTCCCCCTGTGCTGCTGGGGTGGGGTGGGAGGTAGGTAGAAAATCCGGGAGTGAAGTTGTGCCCAGGAAGAGGGAGGGGTTAGGGGAAGGTGTTTTAAGATTTGGTTTTATTTCTCATTACCCTACTCTGGTTGATTGGCAATAAATTAAGTTAATTTTTCCCAAGTTGATTCTGTTTTGCCCGTGATGTAATTGGTGAGTGATCTCTCCCTGTCCTTATCTCGACCCATGAGCCTTTTGTTCTATTTTCTCTCCCTTGTCCAGCTGAGGGGGGGAGTGATAGAGTGGCTGCATGGTGCTTACTTGCTGGCTGGGGTTAAACCACAACAAAAAGGGAGAGCTTCAAAAGCTTAGTAAGCTTAATACAACAGACACATTCCGTATCTATCTAACCTCAGGCACAAGTGCCAAGATTATACAAAAGCAGAAACTCCAAGAATCTTTTTTTCTGTGATGAGGAAGTTTATCTACACTTCGTATTATTGGTTCCCAACTTGGTTCACACTGAAGTGAACAGCTTCCACTTCATTAGTTCCCTTCTATTATTGGTATTTCATCAATGGTGTAATCCTGCCTTTATTTTACCAACGATATTGAAACAACACCAGAAGGTAATGATATATCGACAGAATATGAATTTCTGTGCTGTTACACTGAAAGGGCACAGAACACTAGTTTTTGACTTCAGCTAACCAGAGAAGATCTGTTCTAGAAAAACACTTTTCAAAAGTCAGGTTGCTCTTGTTATCAATCAGTTTTTAAGTGTTGGCTATTTTATACAGTGGGAAGTGCTAAAACAAAGAGTAGATTAATCAGTTATCAGGGCATGGAGTGGATAATGTAGATGTCAAACACATGTGCCATACGCAGTGTAAAACTTCTTTACAATTTATTCTATAAAAGAATAAAGACAGAAGCAATATACAAGTTTGACCAGAAAAACTTAGAACCTTACTTTGATACTGCAAGCAAAAGCAGATGGGGGGATCCTATGCAGCACACTGATTCCTGCTTCATGTTCCAACCTTCAGGTCTGGCACACAGGACCATGAGGTCTCCAATTCAAAGGCTGTCATGTCATTTAATAGGGCTGCAACGTCTAGCCTGTATTGTCTAATGTGTTTGTTGCTGCCTTTTTAGTTAGGTGCTACTTCTATATGTTCTTTAAGCAGCAATAATAAAGCATCTTACCGGATGCCCTGTTTTGGGTAGAAGACAAACAGGACATATGAAGGCGTCCCAAAAGTCCGGCTGCATTTGTCTGAAGGCCAACCTGCCCTGAAAAACTGATTATCTGTTGAGACAATAAACCACTAGTTAGACAATTTTCCCTGCATTGTCTCACTTAGGCTGGACACAGACATTATGCAGTTTCTTTAAACAGATTTGGCCTGTTTGTGCAAGGTGTCATGGTTCCCTAGCGCATTATCCAAAGCAGGGGACAGAGGCTACATTCTTACCTGTGTAAGGGTTCTGATGACTTCATTCAGCTTACTTTGAAACTGAGAGGACTGAATGCTCTCAGATTTCAGCTGCCAAAGGAAAAAAAATGATGTGAATTTTATAAGGCAACAAAAGAAACAACAAAACAGAGAACACGTACTGAAAAGACAGATTACATTTGCACACATGCCTTTTTGTGGGAGAGTGGAGGACAAAAAGAGAAAGCCTAAGTGGCTGTAAACTTTTCCCCAATAGCACTGCACATGGGCCACATGAAGGGAAAATGGAACAAACCCCATGTTACACATTGTAATTTCATCCCGCCTGGTTCATATCCAGCATGACTCACTATTGCATAAATGGGATGCCCTGGTATATATATAACCACTGCTGTAAGGACGCAGAGGATGTCATTCCATCTTGCCTTCTAGCCAAATTTCTAGAAGCGATAAAGGTACCATTTGCTTTCATGTTCTCACCTCTATCATGCCTCCTTCAGAACCCACCAGTGCAACCAGCCCACTGACAGCAGCCAGACGGTGCATTGTTGGAGAACCCTGGAAGTGTAATTCAGGATCAGTGAGTCAATGCCATCACACATCACTCCTGTAGGGCAAACCACATGTTTCTTCCGACTTAAAAACCATGACCGCTATCACTTGTACAGCTCTCATCCCAACAACCTTTTCAGGTCAGACTCCAGCATGCTGGATCATTATTCATCCCTCTCTTGGTGAATGAAAGCTTCAAATGGAGCTTCCCCTGCCTCATCCCCAAACTGAAATCATCATGCATTTCTCCCTGACAAATCACTTTCTTCTAGCATGCTGTATTCCACAAAATATGCCAGTGCAATTCAACTCTGAAATACTGTTTCTTTAATGATACTTACCTTCAGCTGCAATCTTAATATGCAAGTTTACAGTTTGATTTCAAACACACAATTTTTGTTACAATGAGATAAAATTATTATAACAACCGAGGCACTATAATCACCATTCTGTTAGTCTAATTTTGATAAAGAGCACCTAATTTCACAAGGCATCTTCATTTAATAACCTAGATTTTATCCTTGGATATTGTTCCAATTAGTAAAGATGTCCAAATTAGGATGTCATTGAAATAAGCATTTCCCATAAATCATCCAAGCAGAAAAGAAACTTTTTTTTTCCTTTAGCAAACAGCCCAAAGACATATTTTTGTTTCCAAATGTCAATCAAACAGCATGTTCAGATAGTTCTAACTTTTCCTAGCATCGCTCCTGCAGAAGCAAGGAAAATTATGTCCCTACCATTCATTTAAAACCATCCCTCCTCCCCCCCTGCAAAAAACAGGATATGAATTCAAACTCCTTTACCTCTGCAAGCACAATTTTTATCCAGGTTGGCATTAGTCTGTTACTCAGGTCTTCGGCTTTCCCATGACCACAAGCTGACAATCCATGTACTATTGCGCCTAGAGCTAAAGCAAAACCGTGGGTCTGTAAGGTGAAAGAGACACATTAAAAAACAGATTTTCCAAAGGATTCTGTATTCTTTTTAATATTTATTATTGAAACATTACTTAAATATTTATTATTTCCCAATAATTACAGGTAATGTCTTTGTCTAAAATACTGGATGCTTTCTTATTTCAAGTATTTTCTCATGTCAATTGACATAGGATTTTCTGAGATTAAATACTGATCTTTGGCACATAGATTGCTCTGGAGCCTTTATTTTAGAGCAGACTTGAAGCACATATGAAGATAAAATACTTAGCAAAAGTAGTTTGTTTTGACTTCCTATTTTCCAGCTAAACATTCTAAACAGCTGATTACTGTAAAAGCAGGCTTTGATTCAAAATGGTTGCCTTTTTAATTTTTTTTTTCCTTTTTTTCTGGCAAGCATGTAATAAAAAAAGGACATGCACTGAAATATGGAAATTATTTTTGGCATTTTTAGAGGGTAACCCAAGGACGCTAGGGATGAAACAGACACTTGGAGGAAGCTGTGGCTGTAGTTATGATGCACTGCTTGGAGGCTAAGGGAAAGCAAAAATTCAGAAGAGCACAGTAGATGTATTTTCCTACTAATTAAAAGAATCTAAAGAAACATGTTATAAAAGAGACAAAAATTGGCAACATGCAGGGACTAAACACATGAAGAACTCAAAAGTACCAACTTCCCTTCTAAACACAATCAAACATATAAAATCTGTTTTTATTTTACTGTCTGGTAATTGCTATACACCCGTAGACAGAGCATCAATGGATCAAGTGGTAGTCTTGGTAATTGCACGGTATGCACAACATGCTCAATGTTAGTTAATGCTGAAAGTAGACCAATATCATTTTCTTGAAGTTACAGTCTGGGTAAAGCAGTATCCAATATTAAATAGGTAAGAGAAAACCAGAACTGAAGCAAAGCCTAAACACTGAATTATGACCTGCTGATTATTTTCCACTAAGGTCCGTAGCTTATTCATGGCCTCCTCAGCCTCAGCTGCTTCTATGATTCCAACACTGAAAGCAGAGACACAGGAACAGGCCACAGAATAGGCAAGTACCTGAAAAAAATTATTTAATTCTGTTAACCAGTGTTCGATCAAATTCACTGTAGCAATGTGCACATGGAGCAATGTGCCAGCACAATAAAAAAGCCATTTTCAATTTATACTTTCAGATGTTTATTCCCTCTCTGAAAGATTCTTCATTGATGCTAAATTAAACAAACACAGGTAAAGCTTGGAAGTGCTTCTGGTTTTATGTAGGTCAAACTCCTGATCTTCCACACAAATGTAGCTATTCTTCTTAACATAAGTATCTGATCATTATTTATGTGAGCTTACACAGCATGCTATGACCCATCAGGGCTACAAGCAGGTCCACAAGGCCAGAAGAGGAGCATGTAGTAGAACTGTCTCTCCTACACACAGTGCATGACACTAGCCTCATGCAGAAGGATTCACAAGTGACACTGATTTTCTGTTCTTCAGTCTTAGAGCTGGAGAATAAGGAAATGGAAGTCTGAACTTGCAACAAGGTAACTGTGCCAACTGTTTAACCTCCTTCCTACCAAAGCTAAACCACAGAACAACACATGGCTTTAAGGTAAGTAGAGAGCACCTATCTACTGTGCAGGACTGACAATAATTTGACTTCCAGCAAGTAATGCTCAGATTGTACCTCTTGTTGCAGCAGGCCAAAGTTACCTCTCATGTACAGGATTATATCCCCAGCCATTTATGGCTCTGAAAGAGCCTCTTGTGCGTCTCATAAATATCACAGCACTCATCCTAGGGTGCTGGCCAAATTTTATTCATGTAATTATCTGTACAATTCCTTACAGAGATTTTAATTGAAAAGAGTAGATTTTGCTTCTCATCCCAAAGCATCTCATGATGTTAAACAGCTGCTGCCTTCCGTCTCAGAAGTTGCTGTATTTAACCCAGTTTAAGTTCAGTAAAGCACTTTGAGATCTCTGGGGAGAGAGAAATAATTTCATAGCTGTAAGTCATTTTAATGCATGAACCATAAACTGCAAAAGGCTAATCCCCAGCATATATGCACTGCCAAAAAAACCCTGAACTCCATTAAAGAAGGCCTTTAATAAAGAGCTTTCAGAGCAGTACCCAGGGAAAGAGAATAATACTACCAATCTCTGCTAACTCCCTTTAAAAAAACCAGAGGATTATGCAACTCAGCTGTTCAGCTGCTGCAGGCTTACATACATCAGGTATAGGGTTGGTTTTTTTGTGCAAAACACCTGCTTATTCCGATTCTTCTTTTCTGTTGTAAAATCCTCCAATTTCATCAGTTTTCCTTCTCAAGCTTTACCTCATAGGTTATAGACTTAGTGCATGGGCCATGTCAAAACTTGCAGGACATATCTTGGCAAAATAAATTGAAATGCATGCTCAAACTTAGCGGAGGTCAGTTTAAAACTTCAAAACATAGTTATAATGAGAACAGCAAACAAGGCCATAGCAGCATTCACAAGTGCAAGATTCACATTAGCTAGTGACAGCAGCTTTCAAAGAAGTAAACAGAAGGCATATTGAAGGAGGAAGTATTAGCATTAAGACTGCCTCCAAGAGTAACCTGCTGTCTGCTTTCTTAAGTAGATCAGATGAGCAGTAAACAACTGCATATGAGACCCATATCCACAGTTACTCAGGACCTAACTTTCAACAATTTAATTTGAGGTTAATGAATTAAAGAAGCACTTCAAAGAATTATGTCTGTTATCTTTTCAGGCAGTTTCTTAATGTTTGTGCAGCATTACAGGTTACTCTATTATTATTATTATTGTTTTCTTCTGCAGATATAGACCCATACATTGTGAAAGAAATAACAGAAACCAAGCATTCCATACTACAGATACAAAGCTTCAGTAAAAAGTCTATAGTTATTAAAGGGAGGCAAGAAAGTAAAAGGAAGATTTAATATCTGCAATAAAATAGGTCATACCTCCTGGACCCATCTGCTTTGGTCCTCACTGCTGTCCAGGTATTTACAGAGTTTTTGAAATGAAGCGGAAACATGCACTCGCGATTCTGTTTGGCTACTGTGACTCATAAGGGAAAGAACAAGTCCTACTCCCAAAATACATCCAGTGCTTAAAGAGAAGACAAAAGAAAATTATTAAGCATGCTTTGGCTGCTCTGAACTCTCTTTTCACCCCAACAAGGGTTGCTGAGAAAAAAGACCTCTTGGCCTTGCCTGACGACTAGCCCTGTGGATAATTACTTACCACAGTCAATTTTACAAATGGTTTTTATTTCACACATCAGTGATGCTTTTGGGGAGACACAGGATTAAAGAAGAGCATAAGAAGGAAACTTGTGTTAAAAATAATAAATCCTACACATACAGCCTCATTATTCCTTCTGCCCCTCAAGAACCAATAGCTCCATCAACAAGCACATCAACTAGTATGACAGAAGTATGGATCTAAACTTCTGTATCTGATTTATACTGATATCCCAAACTCTGATAGCCCAGTTAAACATACTAATTACAGGTCCACTGGCTGTATTAGGGTCTGTTGCTCTCAGACTCCTCCAAGAGGTGTTCCAGTTTGCAAAAATAATGAAATTCATTTCAGAATGTGAGTGTCACGTATACATTCTAACCCATATGTACTAATATATGCATATGCAACCGTGGACCAGCTTCAACAGGGCAGACATATCCAGCACAACTAACAGTTTGATGCTGAGGATACTTAAAATTGCAACAGGAAGTTGCAACAGCTTCAAAGTATGTAACTTAATAGGGCAGCTGGCACGAACAGCTTCACAGTCTCTGCCTCTTTCACATTTGACCAGAAATTCCATTCTGGACCAAAGAACTCTTACTAAATTCAGCACCTGTGCTCCCACAACAAGTTTCAGTTTCCACAGGTCATCGGTCATAATATGGAAAAGTTTTGTCAGAAAATTCCCAAGCAGTTCTGGCTGCCATCATGAGATACTAAAAGCATAGCAGATACTCACTGCTCTGAAGGTGATCTCTCACTGGCACACATACACAATAGCTTAAAGAAGCAGGTCTTATGAACACTTTGTCCACCTCAAGCATCTCCCTGAGCATGCCAATGACAGACACTGCATGTAGCAAGGAGTTAAATGTGGCTAGGATCTTAGGCATTCCTCTAAGCTTCTGCCATCCAACTTAAAAATGGGAAGAGTTACTGCTTTTACTGACCTAAGTAAAAAAGAAACTTCTGAGAATAACTTCAGTCATGTTTATAAGCTAATGCTTTTCAGCAACTGGTGATGAAGATGGTGAGCATGACTAGAAAACTTGGGAGTGGTGTCTTGGCAGTGGCATCTTCTTCTTCCAGCAAAGAAGATGAAACAAACCTTTGGAATCAACTCTTTTAAGTAACTGCCATATCTGAATTAATGAACAGCCAACAAAATAAGGATGTGGCTTATACGTAAGAGTTCTATACACAATTTTACACTGTTCCTTGTTGACAAAAATACACAGAAAGAAAACAAAGTTCCTAATTAGAGGTACAATATATTATGTTGTTGACTCTCAGCAAAGACCCAAACCATAAGTGGGGACTGAAGCAAGAGTAAAACTTCACCCCCTCTGCTCCCCTTTTCGTAACTAGCAATTGTTTTCACTTGGCAACCTTGTTTGTGATCTGTATAAAATTAATACTTAAGTGCACTTCATCCACACAATATCTCAGATTTCCCAACCTTGTTTGTGATATATATAAAATTGATATTTAAGTGCACTTCATCCACACGGTATCTCAGATTTTCTCAGAAAATTTTAAGTGATTTACTACCAATGCATCAGACATACTGCACTATCATCACAACTCATATTTGAATCTAATGCCATTTATCTCAATAATGTAACTGAGCACTGTACAGTGCAGTACAGTCCATCACATCACAGAATGAAGGACTTAATGAACAAACCATGAAACAAAATAAAAGGCTTGTATTTTAGGATGAAGGAAAACTGGTATTTTCCTGATAATACTGAGGTCAGTGGAGTGTGACAGGTTTCTGTAAGAACAATATAAAAGTTTGATGACAGTTTTGATTGAAAATGTCTTCAAGTCAAATCAAACAGCTACTTACCTTGCAAAAAACTCCATAAAAAGCAAGTCAGTTTAATGCTCCACACAGCAATTTAAAGGAAGGGTATTGTGTATTTCAAGATTCGTAACAATTTGCTCTTTACCACATCTTTACTCAACGTGTATCAGTGTTTATATTTGTTTAATATTTCTCCAGTATTTATTCTTACAGAAGCAAGGTAGTCTGCCATGCAATAACTTTATACAAAAAGCCGTATTTGCAAAGGTCTTGTAGCATTCATCCTCAATATGGGACATGTAACAAGGCAAGCCAGAAAAACTCTACTGCTCCTAGGCATTCTCAAAAACTTTTTACATGCAAACCTTTCAAAAGCTCAGAGTTAACCCAATCTTCAACATGTTTTCTTTTGTTTGCTGGAAGGCAGGGGGGTGAGGAGGGGAAGCAAAACCTTCCAATACATGGACCATATGTACTGCTATGTTTGTTACCCATATGCTGTACTGTTACAACTGGAACCCTGCCTTTGATTTTTGTTTTTTTTTTTAATTATTTACTTATTATTTTTTCCTAGTACACTGAGGTTGAGCTGACAAAAATCTATTGAACGTAATCTACATAAATAACTAGAAAAGCTAACGACCATGAATGTACATGCTTGCTGAACCTGTGCTCTATGTAAGTTAGGCTTGGGAGGAAAAATGAGCTGTTATATAGCTTCTGTAATCAGTAAGTTTGACAAAACCTAGTAGCACAAAGAACTGTCTAAATCACCTGTCATGCACATTTTCCATACACGTGTATACTGAAAAGTGGTGTATCAGTATATTTTAAAAACATACGTATTCCAGTTTTTGTCTAACATAAGGGCAGATTTAAGGCCCACTCACAGATCTCTTGATAATGTCTGAGTGCATTCCATTTAAAATCAGGAGTAACTGCAAATCTCCTAAGGCTCTGCAATCTATGAAACTCTGTTTCAGTTGAAAAGTGCACAAGCATCATATTAACATGCTTAACCATCTGAAATGTTTTCCCGCTTTAAAAGATTATGAGATTATATTCACTTCCGCTTTTTTTCTTGTGTGGCTACAACAGATAAAAGAGTACCGATTTACAAGCATTATTCTCATGGAGACCTCTTCTGAGAGGAAACTTTTAAGTTTAGAGTATTTTATGCAACTTACACAGACACAAGGATTCTTACGCAGCATAAGTGGACTCTCATCAAGCTAAAGCACTGACTCAGGGAAAGACTGCTGCTGCTTATTGAAAACAACTCTGTTTTCTTCATTCCTCTTACCTATTTCCCCCACCCCCCTTTTTAAAAAGAGAATTCTCCTAATTAAATGAAGATGATTATACATAAAAGCAACATTCCTACCAAGGCTGACACGGTCAGTGAAGCGGGGTTGTGTGAGCTCCAGTTTGCAGGGCCTACACACTGACAAACCACTTTCTTATCTAAACACTCAAGGTAGAAAAACAAAACAAAACAAAAATTCTGCAAAAACCTCTTTCCTGATAACATCCTTCAGTGTGTGAGATGTCTCACTTAACACCCTGGAGAAGTGTGTTGCTGAGCAGAGAGGCACACCTAAAACAATCAGGAGGCATGCCAGACCGCACAAGCTCACAGCCGGGCGGCAGGGTGCGGGGCGGGGGGACGGACGGGACAGGACCCTGCGCTCCGGTAGGGGGCAGCATGAGGCCGGACAGCGGCGGCGGCGGCGGCCCGGCGGCCCGCAGAGCTTCCCGCGCCCGCAGGGCGACAGGCCGGTACCGGGAGCCCTCCTGGCCACACAGGACCTCACAGCAGCCGCAGGAGACGGTATGGCTACTGCTGGCATCCAGAAAAAAAAGAGAACTCCGTCCTCCCTCATCTCTACTGCATAATACACCTACTCTCAAAAAACTGGCAGCCTATTTTGAAGGAAAAAGAGAATCGCCAGTTTAGCGTGCGTGAAACACTGATGAAAAGATGAGTGTAACACTTATGCCCCACAGCTGGCCATGCCTATCATAGAATCACAGAATGGTTTGGGTTGGAAGGGACTTTAAAGATCATCAGGTTCCAACTCCCCTGCTATGGGCAGGCATACTTTCCACTAGACCAGGTTGCTCAAAGCCCCATCCAGCCTGGCCTTGAACACTTCCAGGGATGGGGCATCCACAACTTCTCCGGGCAACCTATTCCAGTGCCTCACCACCCCCATTACCCCTCATCCTATCATTACACTCCCTGATGAAAGAGTCCCTCCCCATCTTCCCTGTAGGCCCCCTTTAGGTACTGGAAGGCTGCTATAAGGTCTCCCCGGAGCCTTCTCTTCTCCAGGCTGAACAACCCCAACTCTCTCAGCCTGTCCTCGTAGGGGAGGTGCTCCAGACCCCTGATCATCTTTGTGGCCCTCCTCTGAACCCACTCGAGCAGACCCATGTCCTTCTTATGCTGGGAGGCCCCAGAGCTGGACGTAGTACTCCAGGTGGGGTCTCACGAGAACAGAGTAGAGGGGGAGAATCGCCTCCCTCGACCTGCTGCCACACTTATTTTGATGCAGCCCAGAATGCAATTGGCTTTCTGGTCTGCTAACACACCTTACTGGCTCATACTCAGTTTTTCATCCACTAATACCCACAAGTCCTTCTCCTCAGGGCTGCTCTCAATCCACTCATCACTTGGGACTGCCCCAATCCATGTGCAAGACCTTACACTTGGGCTTGCTGAACTTCATGAGGTTCGCACAGGCCCACCTCTCAAGCCTGTCAGGTCCTTCTGGATGGCATCCCTTCCCTCCAGTGTGTCAACTGCACTGCACAGCTTGGTGTCATTGGCAAACTCGCTGAGCGTGCAGTCATACTGGATGAAAAGGCTGGAAAGGCCCTTGCTTTGGAATAGCAGTTTAAAAGTGGACAAATGCCAAACATGGACAAGTCTGCAATATTTACAGCTTTACATTACTTCTTTGCTCACAAAGAGTGCTCACAATAGACACAAACTTACCATTAACCTTTAAAAAACGTAGCCATTACGCCCAGCATAAAAAACTACCCACCCTTCAATCTTCCCTCTCGCACTTGCCATTTTTTCATATTCTTCTGGCAACCTCTCACTGCCACTGAAGTCTAGTTTGTTTTTTCTATGAGGGATTTATCTCCAGCTAATAGGTTACACAAATAAGCAGTGACAGGTGTAACAAAGTGATGCAGCTGATACAGCTCCCTGTGCACCATGTGTCTCACCCTGTGCCACTCAAGAGGCAACCCAAATCCTGACGAAGCTATACAGGTTCACGGCCCAATGGTGTGCAACTGTGACCCCTCACAGCTTTTCAGAAGGTCCACTGGAGAAGGGGAGGGCAAAGGCAAACAGAAATTATTGCTCTGTTTCCTTTGAACAGGGAAGAGCTTGGCAGAAAAATGTTTAAAATCAAATAAAACCCTATGCACCCACACTGAGGCACTCAAGATACTGCAGTTCCTTCCCCAATTTAAAAGGGAAATGACTACTGTTGAAGACACATACTAACTGTGTTATGTTATTCATTTAATGGCAACTGACACATGTGGTTTATTGTTCAATTATTCCAGGTTTGCCAATGCTAGTAATTGTGCAATACCTTTCAATAATTTCTTGCCCTGCTGGTGGGTTACTCCTCTCGTTGGCACATCTGAGGCATAACCTCAGTTGGTTAAATGAAATATATTTGCTTTACTCAGTATTCAAGATGCCATCCACAGCTGTTAAATTAATGGTCTGGCTCTCCCAGGTAAATAAGCCATGTGAGGCAGCTGATCCCAGAGCTCACACTGTATTGTACATGCATCCACAGTCCAGTAACAAGCTCCAACGCAGAAGCAGCTAGACTTCATTGAACACCTTGGCAACCACCCAAGAGCACCAAGGAAGGACCTTCAAAAACATCTTTCATTAATGAACATGTGCAGGTAAGATGAACAACCTGCTCCTAGAATTGCTACCATCTTCCCACTGCCTGTGAGCAAGACTGTGTGGTTCTCTCTACATGCCCAAGGTTTTTACTTGTGGCTTGGCAGGGATTAGAAGTAGTGGTCATTGTTTCTTTTCACCTTGCACTAGGGACTGTATGGAAAAAACTGTGTGTGTGTGTGTGTGTGTTAGATATATTCATATATGCATACACTTATATATGTTCATATATAAAGGATTACATATATACATTTATTTATGGACACATTCACTTAGAAGAGGTGATACACAAAGGAATAAACTAGCAGGAACATCCTGAAATTCAGCAAGCACCAACTCACAGTCCTGCACCTGGCAACAGACAGGGACCAGAGGGGCTAGGGATCAGCTCCTGGGGACAGCCTTGGGCACTGGTGGGCACAAAGCTGAGCCAAGGCCAGACATGCACCAAGGCAGCAATGAGGGCCAGCAGTGCACCAGCAACATGAGCAGGACACAGCCACAAGAGCCAGGGGAAGGATCACCCCTCTACTCTGTGCTCACCAACACACCTGGAATACTGCTGTGAATGCAGGAGACAACAACAAAACTGGAACAAGTTCATGGGAGGCTACTGTGGCAGCAAGGCTGGAGCCCTTGCCCTGAGAGCAGAGGCTGTGGGACCACAGCTGGTTCATCTGTGAGAAGGGATGTCTTTGGGGGCATCCAACAGCACCTCTCACATTGACAGGAAAGGACTGAGGAGATGTAGCTGGGCTCTTGCATGGTGGGAGGCTGAGAGGCAGCGGGCACAAGCTGAAACATCAGACGTTCACATGGAGGTAAGGACAGCCCAAAAGTGTAGCCAAGGCCCAGAGATGTTGTGCTGTCTCCAGTCTTGGGGGTTTCAAACCCTGACTGTAAAGCCTTGGACAATGTAGTCCAAGTCCATGGCTGAGTCTGGTTTGGGGAGGGATGTGGACCTCTGAAGGTCCTTGACAGCCTGCACAAGTTGGTGATTCTATGGAATCAGCTAGAACAGGTTGTCTCCTTATCCTATCCTTATACTCTTCTGTCTCAAATTAAGGAATAAAAGCATGAATTAAAAAGGTGGAGCTCAAAATACAACAAAATATTATCAGTAATGAAGAAACTCACTTGAACTCCAGGCTGGTGTCAAAGCAGCAGTCTTCCAGTGCATCCAGGGACTTCATTAGAACTAAGTTCATCTGTTGACCAGGTACATCACTACAAAAAAAACCCCAAACAAACAAACAAAAATCCAAAACACAGCTCTGCTCTTCAAATCATATAGGATATTAAACCTCCTGCTAAGACTGAACATGCCAGTAAACAGAGTTCTTTTCTTGCTGTAACAGGTTCTCATACTAGTCTCTAAGCAATAACTGGTAATTTGCATCACATTCATATAAACATATTCATATACACATAATAAAAACATATTCAGACCTGAACTGGCAACCATTATTGCTACAACACCCAGAAAGAAACACAGCACCCAGGATTTGTAGAACATGCCTGACAGTAGGAGGAGGATAATGATAGAATATGATCTCAGCTAGACCTGTAACTATTTATAAGCTGAAAACTCATGACATTTTAAGATACTAGCCCCCTAAATCTCTCTCTCCATCTCTTTGCCTAACTTACTGATAACAAAAGAAGCATTTACATCTCACTCCAAAGATGTCATAGACGCTCCCCCCTTACATAACATGTACACAGTTTTCTTAATGAACAGGACATCTTTAATGCAAACTAACTCTATGATTTGATATTAGCTATATTCCTATAAGTTTTGCTGTCGTTGCAAGTCAATGCTTGGAAGAATGTGTGAAACTAAGCTTTGAAATTATGCAGGGCAGTGAAAGAGTAAAAACTGATATAATCTATAAGAAATTTTTAGATAAATTTATTAATTTCAACAGAACCTCGCCAAACAAACAAAAGCCAAAGACCCAAACCAAAGATTCACATACTCCGAAATACCAAGCTGATCTAATGTCCTTTTCTTTAAGAACCTTCTAAAGCTTGTGTGTAGCTCAGTTGTCACCACTCACTAATCATCCAGAGACAGTCCATCCCCAAATTATGTGGCTCAGTCAGAGGCAACAAGGCACCAAGACACCAAAGCATGAAGATTAGAACACAGCAATACTGCACAGTGTTTTAACAAAGGCAGGTGCAGCAGAAACATTAGCTTCCCTGAGCAAATTAACAACTGACAGCCAAATCTGTTTGATACCTGTGCTTGTGCATCAATTAAACATTTATTATGGGTATACTGGCAGACAGAATCCCTACCAGTCAAGAAGCTGGAGGAGTATAAAGCCAAACCTACTTCTTAATTTCTCTGGAATCATCGGAAATTTGCAATGGAGCCCAACCCTTCTGTAAAGGAGGCATTTTCTGCCAACTTCAGAACATCTCTTTGCTGTGAACACAGCTGTAACAGCATGCCTTAAAGACAGCCTGTTATGCTACTTCTGTTGTACCTCCATCCCCATATGTGTAATACAATGTAAGTGGATGCTATCCAGTGTCCAGAGCACCACTTAGAAAGGAACCAACGAAAACTGTGAAATATTTTACAATTAAGTCTCCTAGGGCAGCTAGTCCCCTTTAAAAGCATATGTGTCGCTCTTCTAGCTGACTGCTTTGCACACGTACCTTAGGATATTACAAAAATTAATCATTCATCCTGACAGAATGGCAAAATATCCAGGATAGCACTAGGGAAGTGGGTGGTGAAGACTATTAATAAAACACATCTTTCAAGAAATGTTGCAAAGCCCCTCGAGAATCATTTGCCTATGGCTTGTAAATACTTCAATTCCTCAAAAGTTAAGGCCACATGCAAGAAAAAGAAGGAAGTTATTTGCACCCCCACATTACATATGGTAATCCTTACCTGACTTTTTCTTCATACAAACGTGAGATAAACATCCCCAAACCAAGGCCCATGTGGATTTGAACAGCTTGAGACTCATCAGCATTTGGTTTCCCAGGTAACCTGTCAGTCAGCATATTCAGGACCTCCTCAATCTTCTCCTTGCATGATACAATGAAAACTGGCACCAGGAGAGACAAAGCAGTGGCTGCACAGGAACGAGCTATAATACCAGCAGTATTTTCACCTGAATAGGACTTCTAGAAAAACATAAACAAGAAATTTTTTCCATTCCTCTTGGGGGAGGGAAATAAAATTCCTTTCCAGATAATAACACTCAATACTTTAGGAATTTACAATACCTATACAGCAAAAAGCAGCACTGAAGTATTGCAGTCTGGCAATAAACAATATTTCATGTAATTGCCTATGGTAACTTTTCCATTTGCCTTACCTTGTAAGCGGCTTAAAACTACGGTAATTCAGCATATAATTTCTAAGTGTAAATAAGATTGTTAAGTATGAAACCGTAAACAAAGGATAAGACAGGATGCAACTAGAATTTAACAGCTAGTCTGCATATAAATACATTGGTCTCTCTTAGTTTTCACCTTCCTCATTAAAATACCCAGCAGTGTGATCAGAAGGGCAAAGAGAAACCAGCCGTGATGTTAATGTACTTCTGTAATTATAACACACCAAGAATTTAGTGAGTTGGAAAAAGCACTATCTTAAAAGCATCACACCTAAGATAACAAAATATCATGAGATCTTGCAAGATAACCAGTAAAGATTATCTTAAAAAAGAAAGATCCCTTACAAAGGTTTTTAATTCCTTTCCTTTTTGAAAGGTAAAACCCATACAGCTACCTCTACTTATAAAGCAATGGACTGATTGTAAGTAATAATGTATATTTATCAACTTCCACATGCAACTCTGAAAAGGAAAAAAAAATCCCATCAGGATGCAAGGCACTCTGCAAGACAGTGATTTCTACTGTGCGCCTTGGAATTTTACAAACATAAGATTTTTAAACTTATTCTTTTTTTTTTTAACAGAGTGGATTTTAAAAAGGAAACTTTGTCACATTGTTCCACCTCAAAACCACCTCTTTTAAACAGCATTATTTTTAAGGGCAGGAGTCACAGAACAATTTGGCAAGAACTGCTAGTGCCAACCAAGTAGTTGAATCTCCTTATGTCCAACCAGTCTAGCGTTATTTAACACTATATTTGATTTGGTGATCTATGTCAGTGATGACAGGGGTCACATGCCAGAGCTGACTCTGGTCCATCAGTAATTTTCAGCTTTTTGATGCTAATGTCTCACTACTAAATGCAGTTTATGAATGCAGTTAATGAATTTCCTGTTAGAAAATATTACGATACATTAGCAGGCTGGTATTTGGCCTTGTAGGATCCAAGTTCCCTTCTGCACCCATGACACAAAAAACCTCCAACCTGGTCATTTTGACCCCAGGTAGTTAAGGGTTAGCAATGCCTACTCCTTAAGGTCTATACTGAGCTTTCAGTCTGTCTCCAGGTCCTACTTAAGAACTGCCTAATACTTATAGGGCTTGAGAATTTCAGGCTGGTTATCACACTGCAAGCACATACGATACAACTTCCACTGGCCCTCAGGGATTCAAAGGTACAGTAAAATAAGAATCATTGGCTCCATAACTACTCGATTTTGGGAAAGCAGGCATTTCAGAACCCTAAGGAATGGTGTCAGAATCACTCAAGAGTTTGACAGTGTGGTCTGAGAAGAGTCTGTTCGTGTTACAAGGTTTTGTTTTGTACATATACACCGAATATTCTAGGTTTTGAAGGGGTTTTTTTGTTTTTAGAATTTCCTTCATTCATGTATCCTCATGTGTTGTTTACTACCATTTTGGTAATAAAGACAAACACTCAAGGCAAACCCAAATATAAACAGAAAACATGATGAAAGAAAAAGAACAAAAGCAAGAAAAGTTTTGATTCTCTTGTATTACAACTACTAAAGGGCAAACAGAACCAGGAAACTCCACACTAAGAACTCCAGGTATGAAATTCAGATATATTCTCTTGCCTTTAATACCACAATACATACCTGGTAGAACCATGTGAAGACTTGACCTTTAGGGTGATACCGGCTATTCACAATACTAAAAAGGGTCTCTGTGACCATAGAAATCCAGTGTTTTGTGGGAAGAAAATCAGATTCAGTCTGCAAAAATCAAACCAAATACTCACTGTTATTTTTTCTTAAATCAGGTCCTACCTGAACGGAAGGTCAGTGGCTGATGTTCCAGCTATGATCCATCAGGAATGAGATTATTTTGTCATCCTTATGTATGGTAAGTAGCATGATTTTACTTGCCAGTGCTGACCCTCCAGACACTGCTTTTGATCAGGTACTATTCAGTAAAAGCAAAAATGATGAGAAGAGAGGTTGGCTGGGTTTCAGTGTCCACTAGACCTCTATCTCATTTGTCAAAACCAACAAATAAATGTGTTAGTCATTATGTTTCTTGTGAAAAGGCGCCTACACACTTTGACTGCTTTTGTATAGATCACACAGCAGCAACCAGATGGCACTCACTGAGCAGGGTGAAATTTAAACTTCAAAATGTAAAGTACTTCACATCACTTTACCAGCCCCCCAAACATCTGGTCATATTGCTTCATTATATTCCACCAAGAGTAGAGAATCTCTTTCGCAGATTGACTCACCTCAGGCATCACTTCAGTGTCTGAGGAAAGGCTGCTTTCGTATTTGGCTACAGCAACTGCAAGACCAGTTAAGGCAAAAATAGAGTTTCCTTTCACCACTGGGCTGTCTCTGGACAGAAAAAGGTAAACGGTTAAAAAGCATAATAGAGATGCAGGCAACAAAACATGTACCTCAGTGTGGGAAAGTTATGCTACAGGTGGTCCAGGAGGGAAGGCCTTTGCACCTAGCAATTTTATTGGGCTGTCTTCTAGCTCAGCAAAATTCTACCACATTTCATCTTCAGGAATTAGAGAAACAATAGGGGAAAGAAGTGTTTCAGTCTTTTTTCTTGTTTGTCTGTTATATAAAGCCTAGCACACATAAAGTTGTATAAAATATGAAGCTTACTTCCACTATAATGAGGACTGCCACCCTGCAGAGCAAGTAGCGCTCACAGAAATGCATCATTTGTTCTTACCTAGTACCATCTCTACACAGGACAACAGAAAAAGCTCTTAAAACAGAGAATGCTAGGCAGGCAGGTGCCACTTCACTGCAACAGCCTGGAGATCTAGCAGAGCAGCCATCACTGAAATCTCAGCTTAAAAACAAGTTTTGAATTACTCCCCTATGCTATGAAAACATTAACACCATGGAAAATGACAGGTTTCAAAGCATACTAACTTCTACCACAGTGCAAACCTTTACTTTCAAGGAACTCAGGAAAAAAAAATCTGCTACCTACAAATAAGAGAAAGAAAATAACTCTGTTCAGTTTCATGAAAAGAGAGATGTTGATGTATCAGTCATTCTCAGAAAAAATGTATTGCAACGTAATTCTGCTGGAACTCTCTTAGCTGTTTTACAATAGCAGCTGAACAATTCAACTGTGCTAGACCACTTACAGTCTTACACTAGACCAGTACACAGTGTACTACACTTTTTGCATCAGTCTTCCATTTCTAAAAACTTCCTCAAATGTTGCTGTAAAAATATACCTACACTACAAATTCAGGCATTTGTTCCAGATCCAAAGCTCTCATTTTCACAATAAAAATATTTTCTGGATTTCTGGTTTGCTTTTTAAAATAAGACACACAGGTCTTAGTGGAATGTCACTGACCTCTCCTGTTTGGAGCACTGAAATTATTTCCTTCCAGGTAAGAGATACCTACAAATAATTACAACCAGGTGCTTTGTTAAGTTCTTTGAAATCTTCCCATATCTCTTGCCTTAAATAATTTCCTAATCTATGTATAGAACCTTTGTTGTTGTTGATCATCAGCTTCTAAAAGGTTACGTTTCATGATGTACCTCAAACAGAGAGAAACTTCTAAATCTACACTCTCATGAAAGCTGGATGCTTTCAGTTTAATGAAGGTAAAAATCATCATCCTAACAAAGCGAAGGAGGAAAAAGAACAGTGGCTTACTCTTTATTGAAAATATGGCGAAAACCGCCAGTATTTGCTTACAAGAAAGTCGGTAAACACAGGAAGTTCTAGAGATGCACAGGAAATCCTTCTGCTGTTACCAAAGAAAATTCACCACTCCCTCCCAAATTAGGCAATGCTTCTGCTTCGACTAGTTTTGCTAATGAACTTCTACAGCAAAAATCATAACTTTAATCCTGAGACACAGAACATGATATATTTAAAGTTTGTTATTTTGTTCCTCCTTTATTTATCTCTTTCTACTACCTTACCTTAACACAGGTATTTACTGAGTAGCTAAAATATCAAACAGATGTTCCAATTTCATCCCTCTTTAACTGACTCCTTCAAGATGGACCACCATGGAAGGAAATAGAACAGCTGGAAATATCTTAAATATCTGAACAATGGCAAGTTAAAAAAGGAAGAAGTCCAAATTTTTATGGAAAGTCTTAATTAAAATCACCAGAACTTAACTTGTGAAAGTATTTCAAACTAGTCTTCTACACATTTACAAGAACACCAATGTATTGGTATTGGTACAGTGAGATTTCACTGTAATTCTTTCACTGATGATATCTCTATGATTTAAGATTTTCTAAGTACTTGTTCTTATGAGGATTCACTCTTTCTGATGCTTTTGCTTAACCTTAAGCAAGCAGCCAATTTCATGTTAACCAAAGGCAAAGCATAACAGGAAGCTAGCGGCCAGTGGAGAGCAAAAGGAAGACGTCAAACCAATTTAGCAGCGTATGAAGGAAGGTTAAGATACTTACTGCTGCCTAAAAGCCATGTGCTAATTCTAATAGCAAATGAACAAGCCTGTCACAATCTGAAAACATGTAATTTCCTGCCTTTGGGGGCATCTGGGCACAAGAAAGACACCTTAACAGGAAGTGGGACAGTTCTGATGAGCCCATACTCCACTACAGACCAGCAAGCTTCTGGATAAATGAAGTTACTTGAGGCAAACAGTCTGCTAGTTAAAAAAAGAACAGATTAATAGTGCATATAGCATATCCAGGCTTTACCCAAAACATTAGGCATCAGCCTTTCTAATAGACACAGTCAGTGATAAAAATCTCAAAGCACAAAGTGGGGCAGAGTTCCTTTCCTGGACAGCATTTATGTGAAATCATGAAATTGGCAGATAATCAGTTGCAGAAAATACTATCTATCTTCTGCCAAAAAAGAGAACTCATTCTCATCTGTAATAAATTAGCAGTTCTTACTTGGAAGCACCTTTGATGACATCAGTCAACATATCTCTGACCCTGCAACAGAAAGAATTTACACCACGTTCATTATATTATAGCATGAACTCAGCTAATTTCCCCTTATGCCTTACACTTGTCCATTCTAGGTTAAAAATTATCTCATCTAGCTATCAGAAAATTTAGTGCAAATTAATCACAAGCATTAAAACTGTAAAGTGCTTACATACCAACATTTCTTCACGCTCGTGTGCACTACCAATGTTTTATAAAGGGCTCTTATTTGACTTCATACCACTTTTTGTAAAATGCAGGTTCATGCAATAGCCATAAACCTGTTCCTTGAGCTGTTAACACGTAAGTTTCCAGATCACTGTGCTATATCTTAGCATAATAAATGAGAATGTTTTGCAATGGACAACCATAACAATTTATTCAACATTTTCTATAATCCAGGAACCACTGTGGGCAGTTATGCTATTAGACAGAATAGTAACCAGAATCCATTTAAATGAAAGCCATAGGAGTAGTTACAATTTCTTACACATTACTGTAGCTGATTTATAATATGCTGCTTGTCTGCATTTGTTTAGTTTTGCATTCATATCAAGACAGAACCAGAGATGCAGTGAATTTATTATAATTATTATTATTTGGGTGAGGAAAGAGATCCTGTACACTACAACATCCAAGGCCATCCTGGCCATGACTGTCATCCTACAGAAAAAGCAGGCACCAAGCAATTAAGGGGGAACAGGAAAAGACATGAAAGCTAATACCGGGCTCCCAGTTCACTTACTGCTTTGATTTCTCTACTGTGTAAGGGAATTCTGTTCATTTTTGACACAGCTTACATTAACACTATTTAGGAAACACAGAGCAGAAATCAGTTCAGGAGAAATCTACAAAAGTAGCATTGCTACAGGCATTCTTCTCACCTGGAAAATGTTTTTTCCTTGTACCCTATCAAGAAAGGGATCGGGCAGAGCAACAACAGAAAACTGTGCTGCTACTACAACTGTAGAAGAGATTCTTCTACAATACTGCATCATTCTGGATCTTACTACGAAACCCTCGAATTTAGACTTAGCTGGAATAAAACAACAGACACAAATCTTGTATTCATGTTGAGTGGGACTTAGTAACACCTTTTTGACTGAAATGGGCAAAGGGCATTTTGGTTTTGCTTGTACATACTTTGCTCCCAATGCACTCATGAACAAGCACGGAAACAGATATTTATACTGTCCATGGATACATAGTTCCTTCTCTCCATGAAGCCTCCCACTTCCCACCTTGTCCCCCTGGCCACGCACATACAGGGCTAAATCCTGGCAGACTAAGACACTCCTCAGCTGACTGAAACAGAAGTAGTTGAGGATATGGACCAGGGTGTGCATCAGGTGTTTCGTCTTAAACAACATCCTTAGGCTCAACATTGCCAACTTACCATATGAACCAAGGTGTGTCTCAGTTCACTATGACATACATCATACCATCTCTTACATCTGTTTTATCAAGCCATTTTCAGTGAGACAGCTCACTTAGTGTCTACAAGTAAGTTTTACTCTTTGTATAATCCTTCTGCTTTAACATGACACAAAACAAATACAGTTTTCCATTCCTTCCAGTTGCTCACCCTACAAAATGTCAGACACTGTAAAGGGGAAGGTACCTGTGAACCCCTGCATATGGGAATCTTTACAGACAGTTACCCAGTAGTCTCTTTCTTCCTGCTCCCCTCCACTTGGTCACTGTACCTGGTATACGGGTTTTTTTCAGTAGTGCTCATACAGTCTTTAAACTTGCAAAACTAAAGGCTTTGAAGTCTTGCCCTCCTTTGCCCCCTCACTTGCCATTACAAGTGATGAGGAGCAGACGGGCAGTTCCTTACCACAGCCAGGCTGTAAATTGTTTGTACTGCACCTCTTCAGGATCCTCTTTTCCATGTTTTAACTGCATCTCCAGCTCTGCCTGCCTCCCCTGCAGAATTACAGAATAAGTCAGAAGTGGATCTCACATGACCAATCATCATAAGATTTCTTCAGAGAACACTTAGGTAATGGATGTAGCCTTTCACTTGAGGGCTACTTCATATATGAACTTGACTGCTTTTCATATGGGTTCCCACTGTAATACACAATATATTAAGTAAAAGAATTCGTAATTTTTTCTTCTGTGAGAGAAAAACAAGCTGCAGATGGCACAAACGGCCACAGATACTGAGACATCTCTCCTAGTCCATGCAAAGACACAAGTTCTCCTGAGAAGGGGTACAACAAGCAGGGAATGAGATTTAGAAACCTGCTAGCTAAAATGGATTCTAACAGCAAAACATCACTTTCTTGATTCACTACTTAAAGCAGAACTCCTTATTTTTTCCTTTCTATGACCCCAACCTCCCTGTGACCTCCTACAACAGTTCTTTCTATACCGTGAAGGAGATGATATGGCCTCTAACAATTATTATCTAAATACATTAAGCAGCTTTGCTTTAATATTCAGTCTTCAACCGAGAGACAACTACATCTCAACTTGTTTAGGTTGTCAGTTACTGTTCCTTGGTAGGTTATTAAGCCTTAAGTGAAAAATACAGGCACATAAGCTGTGTCTTTCAGGTACTGAACGCTTGTATTTTGGGTGTGCATAAAAACCTGAGAATACAAGAGTCAGTCCTGTAAATCCAGATGTCACTCAAAAGGTGACTCTCCACAGAGATTAAAGGATCATATACAATACACTGACTAAAGAGAAGGCTGCATAAAAACTATGCGAAAACCTATTGCAATTTGCCCAAACACATAAACATTGGTTTAAGTTCTGTACTAAATCAAGACCTATAGGATCATCATCAAGAAGGTGATTTCAGTCTCAAAAACATGCTGAATGCACAAATTGGCTTAAGTGCTTAAGCATGTGAGTAGATGTAATGAAAGACAAGAGGCCGTTCAGGTGTCCAAAGGGAAAAAAGTCCTCATGCAAGTGTTTTGGTGAACTGCACCCTATTAATGTCTGCCTCCAAACTGTGGAAATGATTACTAGCTGTTCAGAAATACTGAACTATGTAGTATCCAGACTATTCATACTGTAGTCTCTTTCGGCCATCGCAGATGAAATGTACTATAGAAGCGTGAGGAGTAAGTAAAGATATTAGGTCTCCACTGAGGGACTTCAGAAGCAACAAAAATAGGCTCTATTGCCCTGTAAAATGGCGTGAAATCATAGAGAGGTTTTCAGAAACAAGTCTCGTAAATACCAAGCTTCTCATGAAATCTTGCCTCAGATGGGAAGCAACTTAGGAAAGTAATTAAATGCACGCAATGATGGCCCCCTCTGTAGTTATGGCCTAAAATTACAATTTGAATAGCTGCTGCCTGCTTTGTAATGGGGCTTGCTCAGCTTAGAATCTGGTGTTTTGCTGATGGCCAAGATAAAATTTGCTTTGAAAATGTTAGAGACGCATATGTTTTGCTGCACAGCAAAACAAGGAACAGCCAAAGCTTCTAGAATTCACTCAGCAACCTGAGCTGCTCATGCTGAAAACAGCTGATGTGGCCTGGAAATACAAACAAATAAGCCCTTCTAGTAGCACAAAGAGAGCCTTCTAGAAGGCAGCTATTTGTTAGAAGTTTTTTAGATCATTCCTGTTGAACAACCAAATGACACTACATTGCCCTAGATAACAGCTCAGCTAACCTAACGAAAGAGAGGTTTTAAGATGTTTCCTAATCATTACATAGGGTGGAAAAATCAAAAGACGAGTCCCTCACAGTGTGACAGCAATGTAGGCTGGTTAACAGAAGTTCTATTTAATGAATCATTCCTTGATAGCTTCTGTTGACTTCATGATACTATTATTACAAAATTCCTACCCAAAATGATAGGTTAGAGCTCTCGCTAAAATTCCACATTCTAAAAATTCTAAGAATAGACACATTCTGCAACTTGATGCAGGAACAAGACTGTAAGAACCTGAACTATAAGCAGAAGTTATACTTTACAGTGGGTATCCCAGATTGTGCTGCCATTAACTGAAGACTCATTTTTATTTTCTTTTCATAAATTTTGTTATTAAACACCTCAAGCTGTTTTTTTAATATTATTTTAAGTTGCATGGATGCTCTTGCTGGTAGAAATAAAACTTATACCACTTGAATGAGCATTAATGTGCACAATATTATGTACCTCGAAATTACCTGCAGGACTGCTCTGTAGGTTCGACTCATAAATCCTAACCAGGACTGTGGCAGCAGTATGGAGCGGTGCCATTCAGAAGGTTGAATGTTAACCTGTGCAACCCACCAGAAAGTGTAGAAACAGTTACATTAAGTCTAATATATGCAGAACATATGTTCTCCAACATGCAATTTGCAAGCAATCATTTTGCTCATGGGTGTAGGACATTACACATGGCTATAGGGAACAAAAATGATAATGTATGTTGTTCTTCTTTCTGGTTTTACCCACACCAAGTCACCCAGGCCAGACAAAACTGGTTGCTTCAGGTAGCTCAACAGATAACTGATCCCAGAGAAAGCAGTGGAACTATATGTGGCAATAAGCACAAGAGTTAGTAGCACTGGCAGATAAAAATATGTATATAACAAAGATGTTAGTGCAGTTTATGTCTGTCATAGTTTTTGTAAATCTTAGGTGCTTCTAAAAGTTTTAAACAGACATTTAAAATAAAAACAAGTAGATGACTACCTAAATGCAAGGGAGATTGTTCAAAAGGAGTTAGTATCCATGACTGGGGTATATATAACTATGTTCAAGTACATAGTTCAAACTTCCTTTAAGTAAAGGAGTTGTTAAAAAAACCAAACTAATCACCAAGTTTCTTTCTAGGAAGCACCAGTATAGAACTACCAGGAGAAAACCCACACTGCCTCAAAGATAGTTTAAAGAAATATGCAACAGCTCTCCCTGCCTGCCTCCAAATCTCACACAGCTATGACAGCCTCAACTTCACAACAGAATAATAACTCAAACAGTCAACTACAAATCTGATGTATGTGCACAGACTTTCCTCATAAGCCCAAGTTTGTTCTGTTCAGCAAGCACCATAGCAAACTGACACAAAGACTTTTTCAGAACATGTTGAAAAACAAAAATGAAGTGAAGTGATCTCAGTAAGTAACAAGCCATTTTCTAGCCCTTGGTAGCTTAACAACATAGTTACAGGGGCAAGTTAAACAGAAAGGGTCACAAATTCAAGGCCACCAAGAAAGTTCTTCCAGACATCAGTCCTGCATGATGTATGTACCTCTCTCCATGCAATTTGCATGTTATGCAATTTATAAATCAAAATATATTAATTCACAAAAAATGTGTATCACGACTAATTAGAGGAGTCTCTATTTCCCTCTCTCTGTGACTGGCTTAACTGCAGCAACATTTTACTAAGGTAAGATAGGAGTTCAGGTGTCTTCTTTTAACTGCTGTGTTTTCAGACCCACAAACAACATAAGCTCTGTAATTAAAATGATGGGTGTGTATTGTTATATCTCATTATATTCCATGGTGGGCATACAGAATTGATTTTTCTTGCTACCGTCCAATTATTTCTACTGTCTGCCTCTACCAAAAAGATGAAAAAATGTCATCATAGCCATTTGGACTCCATTGGAAATAAGTTATTTAATCTCAGCAGTTTCCAGGGTAATCAGTTTTTAATAAAGGAAGGGCAAACATGTCAGGTTGAGGTGAGACGGGATATATCTCAGTATCCACTGTTTAAGGCCTATACTTTCTAAATTAAAAGAACATGCCAGACTCCCTGAGTAATGGAAAAACCCTGTGAACTGGGATTAAAAATTGTGCAAAGCCCACCTAGAGTAACTAATCTTGCCAGGCTTAACGTTATTATTCTTCCTTTTTATTCCTCCTATTTTATTTTATTATGAAGACTAGTCACCGTTAACATCTAAAACACTGCATGCCTCAAGGTATGCAAACCCCTCCTTTCTCCATCATGTGCTCCACTGGCCTCCTCTGTACAGAATGGTTAACCAAGACAAACAACTGAACTTCCCTTGAATTATCTTCCTAAGTCTTCCTGCTTCATCTCCTCTATGTCCCTCATGATCTACATAATGCAGTCACTATTCTTTCTTTACATGGATTTTATAACATAGAACAAAGGACTGTGCTAAAGCTTCACACCCACTGTCAGTGGTGAACTTAAAACAGTTGTAAGTACTAACACTCTATACAAATAAATACAATCTAAAAGTCAACCAATCAAAAGAGATGACCTACTCCACCCCACAAGCCATACAAATACACTCCACAGAAAAAAAGAAATCTCATCTTTAAATGACGCAGTAACATTAGTCCTTCCTTTTTAGCCAAAATTTTATTGACACACCCCTCTCATCTCTGCTTATCAAATCCTCCAACAAGTTGATGAGCAGTCAAGGCTCCAGTCAGAATTGTTTTCCTTAGGTTCCCAAGGCATCTGCAGTGACTCCAGTCTTCACCTTTACCCCTACTCTGAAACTATTTAGACTTGTGCATTTAGATTTGCCTGGTCTCATGGAGATCTATGAATTTCACCGTGTAATCCACACCTGTGCACCAGAGCAAAAGCAGGCCTTCAAAACACTTCAGGTGCTCGCGCAGGAAATATAAAGCTTTAGGTGTACTGTTGAATTTAAAGCAACTAGACAACATGGTCTAATCAGGAACATATTATTAGTACCTTGCACATCTTATCTAAAATTTGCACATGTGCTTGATCACCAGCAGAACTGCTGAGCAGCTTTTGATTAATTAACTTACTTCATGGCAGTAAACATTTTGCAGATATGTGGAATGAATGAAAGGAAGACAAGAGGGAATTGAACATCTTCGCATAACAAAGAACACTCAAGTAAAATTCATCTACGACTGAAAATTATTGGATATAGTGCTGAAGATTATCACATAACCAGTGCTGATACCTGCTCTTTCAGTACAGGATACTAGCACTTTCTTTATTTCTCCTCTATCACTGGATACACAATGATAACAACAACTACAGTAAGCATTGGTTAACTCATATGAGCAAGCATAGACAAAGCTGACAGTAAGCGAAGCTCAGATTCTTTTGAGTGTGCACTTTATGTGTAAGATATTGGGCGGGTGGGAGGCATGGGGAAGGAGGCTCTGAAGGGACTTCTGAACCAATGATGAGTGGTTGTGAAACACTGCCATACTGGGCCTGGGATGTCCTTGGGAGGCAGCACAGCCAGACCAGGCTGCCAAGTAATTTTCAAGGAAGAGCTGCAGCCTGACATCTGAGACAGTAAGAAACAGCATGAGCTAGGAGCTAGTAATCTGAGCCTATTGATCAATGCTTAAGAAGGACATGTCTCCCTGAAAAGACACACAAGTGTAGACTGTGCTGGCCAAAACCCAAGACAGGGAATGCTGGCAAACCACAGGAGATACTACTCCTGTACTTCAACACTTCCAAATAGACATGGCACAAGTTTTGCACGCTTCTGCAAGACTGGAAAGTAATTTCAAGTGAAAACAGAAGCTTACTTCCCCTCTCCAGTGCACTCCCAATAAAAATCAAACACCATGGTAAGATCTGGATTAGCTTTCTTTCAGCCCTGGTGCCTTTGCTGCTGCCATAGTTCTTTGTATATTGCTCACTCCTTTTGGACTGATACATACCCAGCAGGGGGCACAGAAAACAGATTGAGGGAACAGTGAAATTAAGCATGTTTCTATCACTTCCCTAGGTATCTAATTGAGATAATACTGTTTAAAGAACCTAGAAACTATGATACCAGTAATGGCCCATCTTAAAGTCTGCTGTAGAGTAGTAAGTTCTTTTACTAGGTACAACAGGTTTCCACTTTGATAGCCCTGCCAACTCACATGGTCCCTAAATTCAGCTCATCTCTAACATGTGTGGCTGTGAAAACATGTTTTAGACAATACCATATGTCAGTGAGATGTTTAGGTGTGTATTTAAATGCCCTTCTCACATATGGGACATATAAACTGCAGCATCAGTGATTTCATAAATAAGGCTAGCGTTACATATCCATATGAATGAAACTGTGAAGTAGCATCTCTTTTCTTCTCAAATTTTGCTTAGAGGCTTGCTCTTTTTAACATACTTGCAAGCATACACTTCCAAATCCTCCCCCCAGCATTCCTTTGTGAGAAAAAAATTGCCCGTCTTTCTCCAAGGCACATTAGACTGAGGAGGAGAAAAGCAAAAATCTGTGAAAAAATTTACTTCCTGAATACTGTTTCATCACTGGAGGAGATACATTCAGTAAATTCAGTAGTGGAAACCAGCACAAAGTAGTTCATAGTCTGAACTACATCCATTGAAATACCTAGGCACAGAAGAATACACTACACCGAATTCTGTCCCAGAAAATCCAATTATCACCTTAAGGTACTTCACATACAAGGTTTGAATAAGCCCTTGAATCTCTTGATTACATCAAAATCAGACCAGAAAAGAAATGTACAGAAGGAGCTTTCCACTTTAGTGCTTAAAGATGCATGTCACCACAGCACATCTAATGAATGCACTTAAAACGGAAGCAGGGAATGCTTAATCTGCGAGTATACAGGTGCCTAACATGATTATTATTTGCAGAGCAGTATTTAATACTGTACAATTCACCAATGGCACCCACCTTTGCCATTGTGCCTGTAAATATTACTATTAGGGCAAAACAACTGTGCTATTTCCAAAATAAAGCAAGCACCTGAATATCAAGAACATGCAAAGGCAAGACCATCCTCCTTTATTTGAAAAACACTGCATCGGTTCAGACTGGCAAAGCCACATTTACCACATCTGTACACATCTGTACAGCAGGCTGCCTCTGTGCTTTTTGCACGTAGCATAAACTGTTCCCTTCACCTCCATTAAAGAAAGAAAATATGAGTAGCTAGCTGAAAGCCTAATAACTTTGACCCAAAACATACATTTACAGAACCATCAAAACATATGGTACATGGTGTGAACATATGTGACTATTCATCCTCATTCATTTTCACAACCGAGGTAAGTGAAGCTGCTAAGAGATTGTTCCTATAAACTCCTAGGGAAAATTACTCTGAAAACTAAAACAATCACAGGTAATTATTAGCTAATCTAGCCCAGGTGACTGTGATAAACCTCAGGGACTTCTTGTACAGTATGATCCAGGCAGCCACAGAGAAAACAAAGAAAACCCATGGTCTATGTGACTTCTGACCACCGTGAATACACTAACTTACACGTCCTCTCAAACAGAAGTTAACAATCTCTGTTTAATAATCAATCAAACAGCACATCCCAATTTCTGGGGGAAGATGATCTTCCTCTTTCAAGTCACCAGTGACCAGTAAAGAGCAATACAGCATTTCAAATGCACCACTATTTATTGAACATATATTCTGCCTCCCATGAGATACCAGTCCAAATAACATCAAAAAACTCTTCTGCATCTTAATCTGATCCTGCTGACAGGTATTACAGCTGCATCCAATCCCTCAGCTAGAATAGCACCTAGGAGATAGAGTAAGCCTGGCCTATTAAGGTTTAACAGCAAATTACCTTTTTACTGTTGTTGTCACTGTTAGATTTGAATGGCAGCTAAACCTAGGTATTTGTTATTTGTATGCTTTATAGACTTCTAAACGTGCAAGAAATTCTCTCCTCTGCATACAAACCTCATGTAACTTGGGTTTTTTTGGTAGCAGAATCTCAGGCATCACACTTTTACACATAAAGAACCTCACAGAAATTAAGCTGGTTGCATCAAGCCCCTCCCCATGTTCCAGTTTTCAAAAATTAAGCATAATAATGGCAACTAAGCATATGCAGATGCAGACAGATATGCAACCTGTAGATTCACATTCTACAGATCAAATCACTGAAGAGATAAAAAAGTTATTATCCCAGTATGGCAATTATGCTGATGACTGCTAATCCCTAACTAAGGAAATGCCAACTGCTCAGGATTTTTAGAGATAAAATAAATGGATGCTTGCTATCTCCCAATTAACTGTAATTTCTTGGTGTTTACATCCACCTCACAGTTTTCTCAGAGCTTTATGCTGACTGCAATGCTTCAGAGGAAACTTGTTCTTAATGAAACACTTCTTCCTTTACCTAAAAAGTCACTATAAGAGTTAAAAACACAAAAAACAAACAAAAGAAAAAGCAGTCAAAGCAGTACCAGTGTCATTCTGGTAATTTAAAACCCCTAAAACCTGCTTAATGTGCTGTGTTAACTCTGAAGCAATGACTTTGCAAAAACACGTTAATTCCAATAGCCACTGCAGGGAAAAGATGAGCCTAAGTCCTACTAACTCAATTTTCTTAGACCAATACTGCTATTTCAGAGCTTTATAGCTTAAGCTCCCTGTTTTTACTGTTAAACACTGCTCGCCAGAAGAACACCGAGGACTAAACAAACACTAAGGCATGAAATTCTGATGGATGAGCCCAGGGACTCATTTCTTTTCTAGCCAAAGGCCCAGATATCTTTTTCCTGACAACCCTAACTCCAACTGTCTCTAGGTACAAGGGGAAAAAAAGGCAAGAAAAAACATTTTTGTCTGTTAAAGCAGTGTAAGCTGAGAACAGAAATACTGATATATTTTGATCAAAATTTTATAGTTATTGTAAATTTTCACTAAAACGGTGCAGTTAGGATTGTCTGAAGATGTTTTGTGTTTAGGTTTATATTTCAAACACAGTTGGATTTCTTTTTAGTTTTACTACACCTTGAATCAATTGACTTTGTAAAATACTGAGATACTTAATATAATATTTCTGTCTCCAGTCACTGGTATGTATTCACTAACTCCATCCAGTTCACCACATTCAATAAAAACCCCACACTTTGTCAAGCAAACGTTTTAAGGTTGTGTTTCTATGAAGGTAGCTTGTTAGCATAAGAAAAGTCAATTTTTGATGTGTTGCTGGATGTTACAAGCAATGCTAGTACACACAAATAAATAATTTTTTTTTACCAGAAATTGTATTTGGTGCTTTAGTAGGGCAACAGGCGAGTGTTTACAACATAGTAGTTTAGAATTGATCTTCATCCCACTGTAATCCCACTATAACACTTTAATACATGGCTTTATTACAATATAATTAAGTATGCTTTTCTCCAGAACCTCTGGCACTGAACCCAGGTCCCACTGAATGAAGCAACTACATAGAAGGCAGAGCTTTTCTTTCTGGATGTTGTGCAAGCCCACACTTCATTCATAACTTGTTACTTTAAATTTGCTCCTCTGACATATTTGTGGACTTCCCCTGGTGCTCTCCACTGGAGCACCCAAGTAGTTAGAAAACACTCATTAATTTATTTGCACACTCCTGTGATGATGAGGGGTATTATCTCCAGTTTCTGCTTTCACTCTTTAGCAGTAAAGCTGTCAAGATGGAAAATATCTATTAAATTTGCATACATGATTAGATAACTTGACATCTGTGTTTAAGGGTGGGTTTTGTTCTTTATTTTTACTAGTTTGAGAGAAGAACTTGCCATCTGAAGTACTTCATAATGCTGTTGACACTGCCTTCATAACACAGCACCAGGAAGAGATTTCTTTACCCCAGTCCAACTGGTGCTGACTAGCTTTCATCCTTGTATGACTTGACCTAACTTCTGCTGGGATTCCATGTGGTGTCTCTGTGGTCACAAGACATGATTATTACTTTCTGTGGCTTTTCAGTTTAGAAGGACCAAAATGATAGGATGTTTTATGATAGGTAAAAATCTTATGTGCATGCTAGCACATGGAAGTGTTTGAGAGATGGTACAGAGCTGGAAGACTGCACCAGGTAGAAGCAGCCAATTCCAGCATGGTATGCATTCACATCGCTGAACTGGAAACTTCAGGCAAACTATGCTGCAGACAGGTTTGCTAGAGAGGGATCTAGTTTATTTGCTTCAAAGAGACCAAGGGAGTGAACCAGTACAAACGCAGTGTGAACAAGCAGGGAGCAAGACCTGAGAGCAAAGCCTGGAGGGAGCCGTGCGGATGCATCACAGGATCAGAACGTAGTCCCCAAGCATTTTCCACTGCAGACACCCATCTTCTGTGCCAGGCTTTCAGTTTGTAAACAGAAAACTCTCCAAACCCTGTGCATGCAACCTTCCCACTCAAACCTGTGCTATACTTATTTCATAACAGAGATTGTTTGGTGTCATTGATTTTATTAGCATCATAAAGGAATTTTGCAGCAGGCAGGCTTTAGGTCTGTTGGGTGTCACTCACAAACCAAAATCAGGACCCAGACACGCTCCCACCTGCAAGCCATATCTCATTCATTCTACCTCTTCCAACTTCTGCAACAAGTACAGTGTGAGTGTTAGATAAAACACTTCCTTTTATCACACAGTTCTGGTTCACTGTCAACACAGGATGCATCCTGTGCTCTGAAGAAAAGACTCCTCTGTACAAACAGCGTACAAATTATCTTTAATAGCACCAAACTGCCTGTACATGGGACAGAGAAAGGACTAATAATAGGACTGTTTAAGCTTTTCTATCCTTGAAAAGTAGAACAGCAATGGGCATTGCTGGGGTGGAGGGCGGGGGGAATCTTTAAAATGTCCAGACATTTATACATTGTTTTCTTTTCTGGATATTCTGCCTAAGACTCAATCTAATTTTTATAGAAGTTTTTTTATCATCATCTATGCTCTTTTGCTCTTATCAGACTAATTCATACATTCTTATTTATATCCTGTGAGCAGAAACTTCACCCTCAGATGCATATAATTAACTTTTGCAGCAATACAAAATGATCGCATTAACAGTTATTTTATGAACTTTTAAAGAGATTAATACACTTCAACTTATGTTAATAACTGCTCTCATTGGCATAAAATTGGGAAAGGAAGACTTATTTTCCCTAGATCCAGTTTAACTACTTATTTTGTTCTAGTGCTCTCCAATTTTTCAAAGATCAACATTCGTATCAACCATGAAAGTACCATAATTCTAGACTCTCTGAAAGATTTTGTTACAAGCACTTTATTTCCTGTAATGATTAAGTGGGGACTTATTTTGTGCCCTTTTTTCAAAACCACACTGAAAGTAACTGCATTGTTTCAGTGCCATAAGCCTAATAGGTCAGGGAGCTGAAACATTTAAGAACAGAATAAAATAGCAAGTCGTAGCAAGGTGTAGATGTCATTTCCTCAGAGAGTCCCATCATTGTTCAGACCTGCTATTCACCTGCAACTGGTTACACACAAGTATAAGGCAGGTATAGTAGTGTGCAAGGCAGATAAAGGCAAAGGTCAGCTTCTGTCTGTTCTACTGATTTTTCAGAAAAGGTACTCCAGTAGTGAACAGTTAAAAAAGTATTTACATGTTCAATTCTAGTTAGTTGTACCTCACAGCAACTTTAGTTAATTTTGATACATTCATACATGCCATTGCTAGCTGACACTAATTCCTAATTAGCATAAACAAATGAGGTAGTAAGGCAGGGAAGTAAGCATAATTCTTCTGAAAAGGGAAGAAAAGCCAGCAACTTACCTCATGAATGAGGGCTACCAACATTTGCTGGAAATTGCGTCCTCTGCTGGCCAGAAATCGATTTATAGGCTTGCCATCTTTGCCCATATGGATTGGAAGGTCGTAACACAACAACATGCCAGCTTAAAGAGGGAGGGACAGGGAAAAGAAAGGTCAATACCAATACAATACTAACAGTTAAGAATTCTTGCATAAGTCAGTGGAGAACCCAAAGTAAAGTGAAGTTAATTTAATAAAGCCAACAATTTAAAAGTGTATATAGACATATGCAAGTGGTGTTAAACGTCATTGTTTCTTAAACTGATTTACTCTCAGATTCATAGAAATCTTTGGGTCAAAGCATGTATACCTGTCTAACTTCAAGAAAGTGACAGCTTACCTGCAAGGCCTGGCGTCATGCCTGGTTGGTTGTTCCTCTCGTACATTTTCAGTAAGAAGTTTGGAACACTTGCCATGGTCTTCCCCTGGTCTGAGTGTGTGGTCCCTCCTCTCAAGGCTGAATGATACACACCACGCGGCATGTTGGTCATCTCCTGTTTCACAAGGGATGTTGCAAACTCTTCAAATGCTGGATGAAATGCAAGAAAATAAGGAGAGAGGAAAGGGAATGTCAGAGCCTGATGACTGAGAGAACAAACAAACCCTGGAAAACCCAAAATGACACCTGTGCTTCAGGGGAGATACGCTTAGATAAACTAGTAATGACACATTCAGATGAAAGCTCAAGGTCAAAGAATTGAGAACTCTTAGCAAGTCTCTCTGACACCACACTTGCTACCACTGCAACTTCAAGAAGCTCTAAGTCATGTCAGATACTAAGACTGGGAAGAAAAATAGCCTTAACCACTCCATGAGGTACTGATTGCATTCTTTGACTGCTACACCAGTAACACTGGCGTGTGCTGACAGAAGGACAATGAGAAATAAAATCAATGTTTACCAACATAGTGAAAAGTATTGTCTCTAAAACCAGGTTGTTCTTAAAGAGATTTTAAAGAAGCACAATGCAAAGAGGGTAGATGGAGAGAGAGCATATATATGCAAAAACAAGGGATACAGAGAGAGCTGAGTATCACCTTGATTTCTGTTACCATAGCAGTACAAATTGTTTATTAAGTTTTGTGCTCTCAAGCTATCAACTTTATAATCTAACCACATTTAAAATTATACAGAATGTAATATAAAGTTATTGTTCATTTGTGAAGCCAATCTGAAGCAGCCTTTACAGGCAGGCACATGTTAGAAAAAAGGGTCATGTTTCTCTATGTGCCACATATGTACATATATATGACTGCATGGTGTTTGTTACATCACAATCGGGAGCCAGCATTGTACCAGCACCTTGCAAACCTGGTATGTTTAAAAGTCTGTTAGTGCTTTCATTATACAACTGAGGTCTAAGGAGATTTATAACAACTGTTTCACACTAGGCTTGAAACTTTGGCATACAAGGTCCCAAATCACATGCAGTCCTGCTTTGACTAGAAGACAAAGGAGACAAAAGGGCACTCAGTTATCCTTTCTGGTTCCAAGAAATACCTATGGCAACTTGTAATAAAACAGTTTTACACTGGAACTTCCTCACATTTCAAGTTTTCAGCAAGTTCCTGTGATTTTCAGCAATGCTTTCCTCAATTCAACTTCACAGTTGAGTAGCAGTCTAAATCTGAAAGGTTTTGTAGCATGGCAGGAAGGACACCTACATCTCGGGATTTTTTTTTTCCCTCCACCTATAATGCCAATATTCTTCAAACAAAAACCTCAGAACGCAGTTAGCAATTTTCACTACAGTGATTCAGACAGAAACTATAAATCTTTGTCCCCAATCCTCAACACTACGTCGTCTCCCGACAAAACTAAATTTATTGACACGAAAACACTATCCACCTACCTGCTCCAGACTTTTGTTTAGGGTGGCTACAGCAATAGAGAAGAAATTCTCTGAAAGCGGACAGCTCTTTCCCTGCTGGTAACCATCCACATTGACAGACAGCCTAGCACAGGTAATATCACTGCTATCATATTACTGCACTTGCTAGTTATGCCAAAGGGCTTAATACTTACAAGCCATTCAAAAGCAATTCTTCAGGCAAGACAGACAACCCAAGGATCTAGGCTGCCAGATATAACTCAAACTAAAAAAATCTGGATAAATTTAATGAAACACCTAGATGTGCAGCAAATGCCAGAATCAGTCTGAAGGAAAAAAAGAGGTAACTAACATCACAGGAACAAAATTCTTGGCATCCTTCCTGCAGACATATACCTCTCAATACTACTAATAATAAATAAATAGCTGTTGTCTAAAGTTTACAGTTTGTTATATGAGATTATTTTTAATTCTCTGACTACCAGGTTTGACAAGTCTCAGACATCCAGAATGAAAAACCATTAAAATAAAAAATAGTAAGGCTGTCACACCCCTTCTGATACCCTGTGGACTCTAATGCTTTGACACAATATGGAAACTGAAATGACAAACCAGTTTTAAAGGCATATGAGAGAAAATACTACCTAAAACTTCACTTTCCAATGCTTCACATAAGCAGACAGCTATGGTAAATTGGAATTGCAGCATGTTCCAACCAACTGCCATAGAAAGTCTACCTTTACTTTGTTTCCTAATTGTTCCTCAGCTCTGTTGCAGAAACTGGCCCTATAGATTTGTTTGCAAGCTTAGACATTTTCCTCCCACAGAGCTGGAGAAGGTGCTTGGGAGAAAACCCCACAATTCAGTAGCAATGCCAGCACCAAGCCCACCTTGTGGTTGGAACCTTTTAACTGCAGCTGCCATAGCATTAAGTGTTCAACTCTTCAGGAAGAAGCACATGGAGGCTGAAAAAACCTAAAGATTTTCCTCCTCCTGCAAGGATTAAAGAAGAGAGAGGGAAGAAAAAGCAGCAGTAATTCAAAGCTTAAGGAATCAGCAAGGAAAAGCAAGAAGAAGGGAGATCTCACAAGCAGCAAGCTAAACTTCCTTTAGAAGTTTCAGTTGATTTGGTATGCACTAACTAGGACTTCAGGGGAAACTCTGAGAAACAAGACACTGTCATTTTAAAAAGCATCCTGGGCCTTCTCCTTCTAGGCAGTATGGAAGTAGTGAATTAATCTCAATAATGTGTAATGGCAGGATTCCAGCAGATGAGTTGGCACAGGTTCAGCTCCAATTGGCTAAGAACTACAAAGTCTCTGTTCTATCTTGGACACTGTCTCACGAATCCAGTTTCATACCCTTTCAGTGAAACAGTTAACTCACAACAACCCCCCCTGCTGGCCACTAAAGCTTTTGTTCGACTGTTCTGTATCCTGTGTTAGCAGATAAAGACTTCTCTGAGGGAGAATCTATTCAGTAAATGCTTGGGTGTGAAAAGCTATTTGCATATATATGTTTTTATACCAGTCTGTGGTAGCTGCATCTTTTTATTCAGTCAGTTCTCTCCAAAGCCCATTTTGGTTTCCCATCTTCCTGGTAAGTTGCTTATCTCAGCATCCATTGCACAGCTCGAGTTTTCTGCCCAGATGCATCACTCTCTTTTGTTGAAGTAGGTTATGTCAGTCTCTCCCACAAAGCTTCCAGAACTTACTAGTTAGCACACATAGACTCTCTAGGTGAGGCTGCACATACTCCAGACTCCAATGCATGGAGTATTTATGAATAGATCTTTCTAGGAGCCCCCACTGGAGGAAAATACTACTACTATCTCATGGTAATGTTTACAGGTTGCAATCATACTTCAAGATCCCAGGCATTCTACAAAAAGTGAAAGAATGCCTGTGTCCAGGCACTAACGTCACAATCTTGTAACTGGAAGTGAAAGATAGCATTAATGAGAGTAATCAAGTGAACATTAAAAATTCCAAATACTAAAGGTGATTCAACTGCACAGGTGTCAAAACAAGTGCATCAAACCAGAGAACATCTGTTGAAACATACTTCAGTATCAATATGCATCGCTAAAATTAAGCATTAAGCATAGTACTAGTATCTTTTTTGATTAAGTAGATTTTGCATACAGCATTGTTTTAATGCTATTAATACTTTGTTTATAAAACACTATGGGTTTGGGTGGTTTTTTTTTTTTAATTCAGGGCTAAAATACAGACCTGCCTTTAAAAACATCTGCTCAGTCCTGCCTATTGAAGTTGCACTGTGATGAAACAATGGGCACTTGAAGTAAATAAGCAACTGGCTTTTCCTATAGGACAGATAAGGATTTTTAAGTTATGCTATAAGCAATTTTTCCACCATCAGGACCCTCTGACCCACTGCTTTCCTAAAAATGGGTTGGGGGTTTTGCTCTCCTCTGAACTTTTACTTTACATTTTTTCCTGTAATTTGATAAGATATTTTCCCAGGGGAAAAAAAAAAGGCTGCACTTTAACACTGCACTCCATTATAAAAAAGCCACATGTCTGTACAGTCACTGTGATTATAAATCTGCAAAGTAACCTCAAATACTGAATATATTATACCTCCTAAAACAGAAGCTGGCATTAGAGATAACAACTTGATATACGAAGAACCCGGAACAAAAAGATCTGCCTCCTTTTCCTCTTCTTCATCTTCATTCATGTCTGCCTCCTCCAGTGAGTCAACTTCTGGTCGTGCCTGAAAGATCAAAAAAATGAAAATGTCAGCACAAAAATTCCAAATCCTCATTACCTTTCATGATTCCAAGTGTCAACCAAGTGCCAAAAATACCACCTAAATATGAAAAGTTCCCCATTTCATTAATTTCACTCCATCTCATTAATTTGAAGGTGAAGGAATAAAAGCTTTTCTTCTAACTGAATGAAAGGTAAAACTGGTTTATCACATGGGTATGCAAATCCACATCTGTATTAGCAAAATTAATCTTGACACTTATAGACTGAAGTAATATTACTAAAACTTCATTTTCACTCTGATTCTTCTTCAGAGTAAAACAATGTTTCATACTTGCACTTTAATATACACAGAACATTTCTGCTAGAAGTTATTTTTCCATACTAGTTTTCAGAATTTGAAAAACTGCAACATACTTCCAATGCTTTCAATGAAAACATATTTACTCATTTTCTAATGAGTGTAAAGTAACAGCACCAGTAATACAGAGCTAAGTACTACTGTGAAACATTTAGCATTGCAGCAGTGCAGTATTCCAAAAATAGCACCTACTTTTCAAACTGACTTGCCCGTTTCAAGAACAAAAGCACTAAGCATGAGTGTGATTGCAATGGATGAAGCAGTAATCACAAGAGTTGCTTAGTGTCAAGACTCAACTGCAAGCATTAACAGAAGAGCATAAAATGCATGTGAGGTGCCCAAAAGATAACCTGCTGATTTAACTAATGAAAGAAGAAAAACTACCTTCTGACTGCTCATGTTACATGATCAGAAAGTAACTCCTGAAACATACAAAGTATGTTTAGAGAGGAGACATTGCTTTATTCTGTGCAGGGTGCAAGGTGGAAGATTTCCACAAATTAAGCACACTTACTGAGGTTTTTCAGTCCAGACTTATACACTACAGTTAAAACACCACGCCTATCTAATACACACGTTCCACCTAACCATTACATATTCATTATGTTGAGCAAGCATGACGTGTTTTCTCTTGAGCAATCAACCCAGAGTCTTCTACACCTGCGTAGCAGTCTCTGGTGGTCTTTGGTAGTTGTCTGGGGAAGAATACCCCTACTTCTTTTGTCCTTTTATGGTAATGCATCATCTGAGGACACCAGGGGCTTTGTTTCTCTTGCCAACCTCTCATTTCTCAAGATACAACCCATGTCAGAGAGAAGTGTCAGATATCCTTACTATTAAACATACAGCACTGCTACCTGTTCAGGAAGATGAAGAATTGTATGTTCTTCAGAGCCGAATGATGAGAGTGATTTATAGGCTGAAATGGCTACAACAGCATCCTAGAAAATTAGAGAAAGAAAATCACAAGCACAGCATATGCTATTGCTACCTACTGGAAACTCCACACACAAAGAGCTTATCTACTAGCCACTGAATGCTGAAAAAAACTTTTAAATGACAATATTTTCCTGAGGGGCACTCTCAATCGCTTACTTTATATATACAATGCAAATTAGCAAGACCAATTACCTAGGCTTAATAGCAAACATTTTGACTGCTACACTCCATTACTGCTGGAGGGTAGTTTATGTAGAAATTTCCAAGCTATATTTAAATTAAAATACTTTGCTTCCACCAGCCCCATGGTGATGATGGTCCAACATTCCCACTGCGTTACAATACCCCACCAAAGAATTGAGTTAGTTGTCACAGCTGCAACTTTGCCAAGAATGCTTCACCATCACCATACCAAGGCTGAAGTCTACCAGAGGAGTCAAACTAGTTTGTATTACAATTCTCCTTGGCAGTGGCAGATGTTAGGACCATCAGTTACGACCTGTCATGTGCATTACATTGCTTCAAAAACAGTGTTAAACAGTCAATGACAAGAAGGGAACCCTATTAGAAAATGAGATTGCTGACACTGATAACCCTGTCTTGACAGAAGGGTATAAACTTAATATCCAGTTGCTGACACTAGGAATTAACATTTTTAGTTTTATTACCTACCTTGTTTTGTGTGTTTTTCCAAAGGAAGCTGATAACTTGAGCTTTGAATTTCTATAAAAGCAAACAAAACAGGCATTCAGATTTTCATTAACTAAATAAGCAGTTGAAATAGAGGCAGTTACCTGAAACAAACTGCTGCCACATCAACATGCACTGAGCTAGGAAAGTGAAGGGGGAGCAGGTTTGAACTGTAGATGCATTCACATGTCCTCACATTCTGGGAGAGGGAAACCTCTGATCAACCTTGCACTGGAATTTGTTACCTATCTCCTAGGATTCACTAACACAAGCTAAAATTGTGAAAATGTATGGAAATGTGCTTTATAATTAACCTGCATTAGGCAGTGGGTGCAATTTAGAGATATTAAAAACAAGCAGGCACATTTAAAACTCATATACAAAGATACACTAAAAGAAGAGACTCACCTTAGTCCATGAGTACATACCTCGTATTCGTTTGTATTCACTGTTAACGAGGGAACCAGGGCAAACAATTCATTCAGTGCTTTTAAAATGAGGGGTCTTGTATCACAGCTCAACTTTGGTGACAGAGAATTCCATGTAGAACGGATGCAAACAACCTGGAGGGAAAGTGGCAAGCACTGTTAGTAACAGCAATCCCAACTTGACTTAAACATAATTTCCTTCCAGCACTTGCCTTCTTTCTTCCTACTTGGGAACAGGAATTAATATAGGGTTCATAAAAATGAAAAAAAAAAAAAAAAAAAAGGAAGCATGTTAACAATTCACTTGTATTAACAGTCTCACAGTACATTATTTGACATCATGCAATAATGATGTACTTAAGAAATGATGTACTTAAGAAATGATGTACTTAAGGAGACCACAAAGCTCTTGTGAAATAAGATACCCTTTGTATACACAAGGCATGCCTTGCTAACGACTGTGCCCCTGAAGAAGAAATAAGACTGATAAGAAGGGAACATCCTACCCCAGGAGGCGCCTAAAAGTTGAATAATTGCTAATAGGCATGAAGTCAGCAAAAAATCTTTGATAACTGGAGGAAAGGTAAAAGCGGCAGGGGGAGATCACGACCACCGATACAATTCAAGACCAAAAGACTTACGTCCCCCTTATTATATGTATCTTCATGTAATGCTACTGCTCTACTTCACTTGCTAAAATTAGCTTAAAAGCAACCTGTCTCTGGGAGTTCAACAGGATGAAACCAGAGGAAGCTCTGTTCCATGGAAGCCCTCCAAAACAAAATGCCCTTAATCTTTAAACACAACCAAATTCAGCCAAATTTGAAGAACAAAAGATGAATGTAAAGCTGCAGGAATCCAGAAATCGTTGGGAAAATGTCGAACTAGAATAAACACTAATACCACAGCTACTTTAGCCCTATACTAAGCAGGTCAGCTCTTACAATTTAAAATAAGAGAAATCACTTCAACGAACCAGAAACATGAAAAAAAAATTATGTCAGGAAACCACAGATAATAACATCATGCTTCCAACTCTGAACTTACAAAAACTGTAAAGCTGGTTTGAAAAATCACAGAATTTATTTTCATACTGTTAATAATGAATTTGGAGTCTTGTCATTTGCTTTTCATGTCCTTAGAACATAGTAACTTCAGCCTTTTAAATCAGTCTTTGCAGTTATACTAGAAACCATAAAGTTACTGTGCATTAAACAGAAGCTGAAATCACTTTAGATACACTTCTGCAATCCCAGCTACTAGGTCCTCAAGAGAGAAGTGGGGCGGGGTGGGAAGCCAAATGGTGGGGTTACCAAAATATTGGCAATAGCAGGTAAAACCAAGAGTATCTGTAGGCTTCCATGCTACAAAGTATAAACTGGAAAAATCATGCTTTTTCTGTTTTGTTTTTCAACTGAGGAGGCCAATATTTGGTTATAGGACAAACATACTGTTGTCCCACAAAGAGGGTTCATTTACCCAGTGTGCAAGCCGGTAACACACAAGAGTCGAGGTATTTTCAAATGTATGGTTCTAAGGTTGGTATTTTTTCACAGATTAGAGATCACTGGGAAAAAACAACAAGAAATTGAAATCCTCCAACAAAAAGGTACCACGCTGTATAGAACGACATCTAACCTTCTCTTCAATACCTACAGAGGGTAGGGAAAGCTGAATAATTCAGTTTCAAAATTTAATAGTACTAGATACATGTACCTGAGTGGTTAGGTGGCAAAAAGACTATCAGAAGAGAATTCTCATGCAGATCTGACATACACTGGGAAGCATTTACAGCACGGCAAGAAGCATTAGTTAGCCAGCCTAACAGATCTGAATTTTTTTTTAAATTATGTAGACCAATAGACAAAATCCTTATGAGATTTTGTCAGCTGGAAGAAAAATAAAAGGGGGGGGGGGGCGGGGTTGTTCTACAGCTTGTTTGTAACCATTGAATGCCTTCATTAGCACCAAACAACAAACCATCTCCCCACTCACATTCAGTGTTTGATAAGGAACAGCAAATCTCTTGGCTTTTTTTCCCTGGCCAGCTATGACTTCTGGGGCTCACAGGCATTACACTGAATATAAACAAGAACCGAGTGCATTATAAAACATATTTACAGCTACCTCTGTATTACAGTGTTGTTTCACAGAAAACATGAAAATATTGGCTCTATTTATCAAGTCAGTAGCTAGTTCTCTCTCATGGCAAGCTGTCTGGTAGAATACTCTGGAGACATGCTTCAAAAAGGCACTCCACTTTTAGCCTAGCTTTAAATACATGAACAGTCCCACTGAATACAAGATGACTTTTTGTGCTTAAGTTCATGATTATCCTTAAGCACTTTACCAAACCGTTGCCTCAAGCCTTCAAAAGATGGATTAACAAATAAGAAGGTGGTTTACTTTAAAGAACAAAAACCTAAAACATGAGAAGTGTGGTAAATTTGCTATTCGAGGGCTGTTTAGATTATGTGTACTCAAGGTAAAGCTTATCTACTTTAAGATTCTGCTTACAATAGAGGATGCTTAAAGAGTCGCAGACTTGCTAATTAAGGACATACATCCACTAGAAAACCGAGGGGCTGGCAAGAGCAACAAAGACCACCAAAGACCAAGCGCAGGCTGGAGGGATGCACAGGTGTAGAAGACTCTTGGGTTGACTGCTCAAGAGAACAACACATCGTGCTTGCTCGACATAATGAATATGTAATGGTTAGGTGGAACATATGTGTTAGATAGGCGTGGTGTTTTAACTGTAGTGTATAAGTCTGTGTTGTAAATATTCTGGTAAAGAAATCAAAATTTAATCACATAGAAGAGTTAGGTTTGATTAAGAAGTAAAATTGTGAAGCATAACGTATAGGATTGTTAAGTTTGAAATGTAGCCATAGAAACTTTAGGAACTGTGTTATGTGCGACTATAGGAATCTTAATATTGTTCAAGTTTGAAACAGCTAACCATAGAAACCTCACCAGGAAGTTACTGGTCTTTCTATGTTCTGTTTCAAGAAACTAAGGAAACAGTCATGGACACCAGTTTGCTGCTTGGAAACCCCCTTACCCTTCCCATCTTGATTTAAGTATCAAAGATTCCAATCAGTAGAGCTAAGTGTAACTGACCAACGATTGTTTTTAAATAAGAATATTGATAAGGTTATATAATCAAAGGACCAATCATTATAAAGGTTAAATTTAAGAATTAAAGCATAGTATGCATTTTTATGTAAAGACCTTATGTAACAATGATCCGACAGAAAAAGTCTATAAAAACTGATGGATTTTGATATTAAGTTGGACAAGCCTTTGGAGGAGCAATCCTGCGTGTCCCCAGTGCTGCAATAAATGAAGTGCCTGCTTCTTAACTTCACATTGGTGTTAAGGAGTTTTATTCCGGATTTCGGTAACATCTGGACTGAAAAACCTCAGTAGGTGTGCTTGATTTGTGGAAATCTTCCACCTTGCACCCTGGGCTGAATAAAGCAATGCCTCCTCTCTAAACATACGTTGTATGTTTCAGGAGTTACATTCTGATCAGGTAACAAAACTATCCTTCATTCAAAGTCATGTCTCTCTGAAATTGTTAAGCAACTTGTCATCAAGGCACCTGAGATATTGAGCCTGGAAACTCAGTGCCACACATAATTAGTACTAAATTTTACAGTATATAGAGAAAAAAGTAATCTTTGGGGTCATATGAAAGGCTGAGGAAGCAGACGCTGAAGTTTTATTTTGTTGAAGCTTTGGAAAAAAATGAAGGCTTTGATTTCTCCTAGCTGAAAAAAGGAACACTCACAGGAGAGTTGTACAGATTAATTGTTACAAGAGCATTCTGATTTCTTCAGACAGATGGTCCTCCTGAAGTAAAGGTATTACTGCTGTGCAGCAGTACCAGAGCTGAAACATAAGCTTTTATTTTTCTCTTTTTCCTAGTGTTGGAAGTCAGCACAGCACAGCATGAATATAAGTAGGAATGTTTCTAAGGGTTAGAAATTATTCTGCTGCCGTCAGTGACGTCTTCTGCATTCATCCTACCTTCTATAAAGCTGAAAGACTACTAGGCTGTAACTGTTATCTAGCTATACACCACAGCTTGATCAACTTTGTACACATTTACACTATTACTCTAACTACAGCACAGCAGTGAGATGTAATTGGTCCTACTTAGCCCTTCCTGGATAAAAATAAGCCTCACCTGGCTTACTGTCACCTTTAAAGGTCTGTATGACAGCTCAATGAGCAGTCAGTACAACATGTTGTATTGCTAGGCACTGAAAGATATCTGTAAGATACTCAGCCAGTGGTACAGTCCTAGCTGAAGAATTATACAAAAGTCACAAAAAGAAATAGTCGAGTTCCACAGGAAGCTTGACTAGACAGTATTACTGGTACTAAAACTTTCTCATTGTCCCTTGTGAGATTTTTCCAGTTGCCCATGCTCTCTCTCTCTAAGCAGCCATGTGTTCTAGTGAAAACTTAAGTAATTTCCCTGCAGCATTTGGTCAAACCTCACATTGCTCCCTGTAGAGAATTCAACTTTTCAGATTTTGCCACCAAACCTAAAATAATTTTGTCTGGAATTTATCTATTGCTACCCTTTGTCTTTCAGATTTCAGGCTCCACTGCAAAAGAAAACATGCAAAAGAGAAAGGCCACAAAGAAAAAAAAAAAAACCCCAACAAAAAAACACCCAACACAAAACCAAACAAAAACCAACCCAACAAACAAACAACAACTCTCTCCCCTCCCCAAGCCCACAACAACAAAACAAAGACAAATACCAAACCCCTAACAATGCAGGCTTAGAATCAAAGTCTAGATGAAAAAGAAAAAATAGCTATGGCAGAGTAAGGTATGAGTATACAGACTCAGCTTTTTAAAGAGGGAAACATACCAGAACTGGAAATTAAAACCCTTCCTTAAACAATCTGAGCAAATGCCACAAAAATTTCTTCCAGGTTTATGAAATTAAAGCAAAGCAACAGAAGACTCAGTCAAAGAGAAATACAAATCCATCTATGTAATGAAATCAAATGAAGGGATGCTTATAAACATATTCCACAATGGCATTAAGAAAGATAGTTTCAGTGTTACTCTGCACTGAAAAAACCCAGCATGTTTGGTATCACTGAACT